ATTGTTTCAACTTCAACTTATGACATAGAGGTAACAGTCTATGGTTTTAACTAAGATAGGAATATACTTAGTTAACATAAGCATTCTTGAAGGCCTAGGAACTTAATGACTTTGTAGCTGGAATCAACCATTGGAAAATAGGTTGTTAAGGTTGCAAAGATGACTCTAGGAAAATTGGGAACTGACTTAGAGTTATAAGTGAGCTGAATGAACAAGAACTCAACCATTACTGTGCTAATAAAACAACTACAACAGCAGGAAGAGGAGAAGAACACCCCTGGCCCCCATTCCCCTGAGTGACTGTTTCCATTCTCCTGAGTGACACCTTGTTGACTGACAGTTTTTCTTTACAACAAATTTGGTAATTAGCTGTCCTCGTGGGATCGACCTAGCTTCCATTATCTACAAAACTCATAATCCAAGCTAGTAATATTTATCTTTTTTTTTTGGTAAACTCGGCAAGCACCAGTATTAACCATTCTCAGCCTATCTGGTTGTTTTGTGATAGTCAGGTGGCTTTGCACGTGGCGGCTAATCTTGTTTTTCACGTGCGTAAGAAGCACATTGAGTTTGACTGTCACTTCATTCGTGATGAAGTTCTTGCGGCCACCATTCTTCCTAATTATGTGCCCATTCATGTACAACTTGCAAACATTTTTACTAAGGCTCTTGGTAAACAACAGTTTGATTTTTTCTTATCCAAGTTGGGCATTCGAAATTTCATGCTCCAACTTGAGGGGGGTATTACGGATGTAAATATTAGTTTACATGTTTACGGTTTAGGTTTACTTAGTTACGGCCTAGACTAGTATATATATATATATATATATATATATGTTGTACTAAACCCTAATGAGATCAATAATGATTATCAGCTGATGATTGATGCCAGCCACCCCTTCATCTTCTTCAGTTTCCTTAATATGAGATGTCTTATAAATGAGACCTTGGAGACATGTTGCCATGGCAATTCATAAGCAGGGCAGCGAATTATGCCTGAAAGAAGAGGAGCTGTTGGATGGCTTTAGTTTGCCTAAATCACAAGGTCAAGGTGGCTTTAGTTTGCGAAATATCCGTAAAGGGCGTAGGTTTGTTTGCACTTCTGGACAAAGATTTTTAGTTTGGGCATTTTCCCTTGCTCTGCTCTTTTGCATTTGTCTCGCAGTTTTTGGCTTCAACATGTTGCATGGTAAGAGTGAGAAAATTGTTTTACATGTTCTTTTGAACACGACTCTATCAATCAAATACCGCAAGTATTCAATTTAATCAAGTGTATGAAACTTTGTGTCACTTGCCAAATTCGTTGACTTGTTGAATTAATTTGTTTAATGGACTTATTATATTAAGTACACAAGACAATACTCCAAGAGTTTCATATTTGACGAATTACGTTTAATTGTAACAACAATTGTTACTTTGTTAATGCAGTGAGCTTTGAAACTGGTCTCCTATCGGCAACAAAGGAAATTTCTTCGCTGCAAGATGTCTTTGGAATAGGTTTTTTTTTCCTTTTTTGGTGGAAAGGTAAATATATACATTAACACCAAACATATAAGCTCATTTACATGTCGCATCAGTTTTCCAAAACTCAAAACTACTTCCTACAAATTTTCAGAAACTACTCTAAGTCTTAACCATAACCAACATCAAACAGATCACATGACATATTCCTACCACTCAGAAACTAGTAAAATACTGCTGCAATATCTTTGTTTCTGTGGGAGTGCAAATCCGCTGCTTCCAATCTTTGAACCGGATCAAGACCTCCTGCTGGATTTTCCGAAGTAGCTCATCAGGATTTCTTTCCCTATGCTCAAACTGTCTCTTATTTCACTCTTCCCAAATTCCAGCTACAAATACTGCTAGGAAAATTTTTCATCGCAGCACATGGCCTTTCCACCTGTTTTCCCATTGTTTTAACCACATCTGCCTCTCTGGACTAATCTTCCTGCATTTCAGCCAGCATGTAAGGGTACAGTTCCCTAGCAAACCTGCACTGAAAGAAAAGATGGTCTATCATTTCATCTGTCTCCTTACACAACAAACAACAACTATCTGAGATATGAAACTGCATATTAGCTAGCCTATCCTTGGTGAGGATCTGTCGTTTCCAGACCAACCAAGATAGGAAAGCATGCTTAGGCCTGTTATTTCTTGCCTAAGTTCCTTGATTAATCTTTAACTGTCTCCACCACCCGCAAGCCACTGGTAACCCGAAGTAATAGAATAATGGCCGTTGCTTCTTTGTTTTCACCGAAGTCCATCAAAACCATCCTTCACATGATCTCTAACCTTCAGGAGTTGTTTCCATTGCCAACTGGAATCACTTTTTGGCTGTACTTCCCACAAGCTTGATTTCTTTATGTAGACACCATGTACCCATCTAACCCACAAAGCTTCTTTATTCGATGCCAACTACCAAACCTGCTTAGCAACAACTGTTATATTCCAAATTTGTGCATCTCTGATACCCAGTCCTCCCATGGACTTTTTCTTACACACTTCCTCCCAATTAACCAATGACAGAAACATTCCCTCAGAATTACCACCCCACAAGAAGTCACGACAAACCCGATTAACCATATTCGTGACACTTTGTGGCAGGATAAACATAGCACCCCAATAGGAATACATAGACATAAGAACAGAGTTTACTAGAAGTAATCTACCAGCATACGACAAATCCCTAGTACTCCAGCATTTTACTCTAGCAACTATACGGTTCATAATATCCTGACACTCTATGTGACCATTTTTTTGGCAACAATGCAACACTAAGATAAGTCATGGAAAGGTACCTGTTGCAAAGCCAGTGATGTTACAGAATTCCTCCCGCTTTCGTTCTCCGACTCCCCCAAAGTAAATGGCAAACTTTTGAGCATTTGCCACTAAACCTGTAACACCCGAAAACTCACTGAATACAGCCATAATCTTTTTAACTGTATTCACATCTGCTTTGCAGAAGACCATTAGGCCATCTGCAAAACAGATGTTTGTGAGCTTTAGCCAACCACATAAAGGATAGAACTTGAAGTCATGAGCAGCTGCACACTTCAAACTACGAGTTAGATATTCCATTGTAAGCAAAAATAAGAGGAGGGGGGGGGGGGAGACAGGATCTTCCTGTCTCAGTCCCTGATTTCCAGCAAAATACTCCACATTAGCAGCATTAAAAGACAATGTAAAAGCAGGTGTAGTTATACAGGCCATGATCCACTATCAAAACAATTCCGGAAAACCAAACCCTAGCATCATTTCCTCGATAAATCCCCATTCTACTTAATCATAAGCTTTTTTTATATCTATCTTCATCATGATCCTACCACTTACACCTTTTCTCCTATATAATCTTATAAGTTCTTGAGTAATTAACACATTATGCATTATGAGTCTGTCTTTTACAAAAGTAATTTGATTTTCATCAATAAGACACTCCTTTAACCTATTACATCAAACTTTCGATATACATTATATAGAACATTACAGCACGATATCGGTCTATCTTGGCTAGCATTCAACGAGGAATTTGTCTTAGGAATTAATGCTTGAGTAGTAGAGTTAACCTGTTTGAGAAGCTGACCTGGGTTGAAAAACTCCATCATAGCAGTAGTAACATCATTTCCAACGAAATCCCAAACATCTTTGTAAAATCCAGCACCGAAACCATCCGGTCCTGGACTCTTCAACACGTTCATCTCCCACAATGCTGCCTTGATCTCAACAGGTGTCACTATTTTGATCAATCTTAATTGTTGGTCTGTATTGAGATTTGGTCCAGCAGAGAAGAGAGCAGGATTCACTGTCTTCCTTCAAAAGCCTAACCCAACAATTCCTGAGAACTTTAAAAAATGATCTGCAATACCATCCCAGTCCTTGATTTCGCAACCATTTTCCACCACAAACCAAATTCTGTTTCTCATAGCCTTCAGCTCAAAGCTGAGTGAAAAAATCTTGTGTTCTCATCACCCTTTGCCATCTGTTGTTCCTTGGCCTTCTATTACAAGAAGTTGTTTGCCGCTTTACGAGCAGTAACATACTCCTTGAAAGCTTCTCTCTCCTATTCCTGGAGTTCAACATTGATGGGATCTTTACTCACCTTTTCCTGCAAATCTATAAGAACCCCCTGAAGTCTATTAGTAGATTCAACCACATCTTCAAAGTGAGTTCTGTTCAGCTCTCTCAGTTTTGGTTTTAAACCCCTCAGCTTTGAGCTACTGATACATTCTGGTTCCCTTTACAGAACAATTCCAAACTCCTCTGACAATTCCTAGAAACAGAGGAGATTGACTCCACATATTGAAATAACGGAAGGGTTTAGGTTTCGATAAGTAATCTTCTTGTAACTTCACTTCTAATGGAGACTGATCCGAAACATTTTCAGGAAAGACTGATACTAGGGATTCATTACACTGCTCCACCCAATCTCCATTAAGTAAAACCCTATCAATCTTTCAGTACACTCTCTCTGATCCAATCCTTTGGTTGCACCATGTAAACAACTTGCCTTTTTGCCTCAAGTCTTGCACTCCACATTCTTCTAGGCAATACTGGAATTCTTCATAGTCTTTTAACTCCACTGCTTTGCCTCCCAACTTCTCTTCGGGTTTGAGGATGTTGTTGAAATCACCCATGATAATCCAAGGACCATCTATTTTCTGTGCAATTCGCATTAAGTCATTCCAGAGCAAGGATCTATCCTCCAAGTTAATGGATGCATACACACTTGTGAGAAAGAACTGCCTGCCATCTTTTTTCTGAGTACAAACACACTGTAAATACTAATCAGAGTTTCCCACTAACTGAATTTCACAACTATCATCCCAAAGGAGTAAGATTCTACCCCTTTCCTGTCTGTGATGATTGGTTATCCATTTCCATCCATTCCAACTAAGGTTCATATATTCCTCACATCTACTTCTTACCATTTTTGCTTCCACCACACTGACTATACTAGACTTTTTTATTTCCACCATCTTTTTTAACTCTTTTTGTTTCAGGGGAGAGTTCAAACTCCTTATGTTCCATGATAAGAGGCTACACATTAGAACTAGGACTAGGATTGAGCACTTTGCTCACCAAGGACCCAATTCTAAAATGTGAACTAGTATTACCATCCTGTTGTGTTACAGATTTCTTAGGGTACTCTAAAGAAGCAACCCTATCACTTGTATCCTCAGTAACTTGGACAGTACTACCAGCTCTCCTCGATAACACCATATTATTCTTCACATTCTCTTTGCCCCCTTGATAGACCACTGAATTCCCTTCCCTTGCAACAGAGACCTTTAGATCCTGAGCCTGGTCAGTAGTCACCATTTCAGTATCATTAGTTATTTCTTCTCCCCCTATTCTTTTTTGCATCACCGTTTCCACCAGAACTTCTTTGCCCATACTTACTCTCCTCCATTCTTTCACTGCTGGTTGCTTTTTAATCTCAACAGGAATTATTTTTAGTCTGCACTTATCAGTCATGTGACCAAAACCTTTACAACACTTACATTGTGTTGGCAACCATTCATACACTACCTTTTGCACCCTAACATTCCCATTTTCATCTTCGAAAACAATTCTTTTAGGCACATTTTCAGTGATATCCATTTCAATAAGCAACCAGGCGTACTGAACACGTGTTTTATTAACAGGCGTACTTAAGATCTAGACCAGGCAACTGAACCCAAACAGGTACTTTGTCTACATCTCGATAATCAATTCCCTTATCAACATTCCAGGGCCTGACAATTAAAGGCTTAGACCCAAAATGTCTAATTCTCACACTGAGTACTTCATCCCTAGAATTAACATATTTAAAACGCACAAGGAACAAACCAGTTGGCAAAAGAATTATTAGATCTATACCATATCGCCCCCAAGTTTTCCTGAAATACTCTTCCATTACCCATTTTGGAGGATTTGCACTACACGAAGCAAACCACAGCTGAATCCCAGTAATCCACTTCCGTTTTAACATCCTCCATATGAATTTTTCCAATCTTCTGCCCATCTCGTTGCACTGGCTTTGTGAATTTCAGTTGGCCCTTAGGTGCTTTCAGTTTTTCCAGATCAAATTTATCCCATATAGTCTATCCTTCCTTTATCTCTGATTTTTTCGACCAGGTTAGTTGCCTTTTCACGTGAACCTCAGAAACCCTAGGATTCATCTCTCCCTTCAAGCTTCCACTAGCACATCCATCACTCATCTTCTCCAATTGAACAGTAGGCTGACCTATTGCAGTCAAGTTCCACGTGAATGGATTCCCTTCTCCACTCTTCTTTGAAGATGAACCTTTGATTTTCTGCACCAATAAATCGAGTTCTTCCTCCTGCCTCTTACTCATCTCTTTTCTTACATATCTTCCAAGATTCTGACTAATCGAAGTCTGCTCATCTGTTTTTACTGGTTGAAGGAAAGCCTTTTCCTTTCTTCTTCTAGCCAACCATGGCGGGTGCACGATAGGGTCATGCGTCGGGAGAGAGGAGAGAGAAAATCTATTTATTTTAAGAAAAAAATTTTAAAAATCTTTGGAATAGCTGATGGTACATTTTTTGATGATCAAGTCATGAAGCCACCACCAAGACGACCACGTAGACAACGTAAGGGATTTTAAGAAGAATTTTTCTTGCTTTCATTTTGTGAAATATGTTCTCCCTTTCTTGAAACTGTCAAGTTCATCCCAGAGTTCTATTTGAATATGTGAACCCTAGGGTCTTTCTCAAACTACCTGGCCATCATCATTAAGATGCAAAAGCATTATAGATCAATGTTGACAATTGCACATCATTTGTTTCACAGTTGTGGAATTAATAGTGCCTCCCCTGAGTCCCCTCCCCATTAGTCACGATATTATTTGAAGCTTTCTGCCCTTGAGTTCCCTGTAAGCATTTCTGCTCTTAATAGTTGCTTACTTTGACTTTTCACGGTTTTCTGCATGTGATGTCTCATTCTCAAATTCAATTAACTATTTTATGGAGCCCAAGGACACACAGAATGTTACTAATTTCTCCCTGCAATATGTTGAAAGAGAGGAGAGACAGTCGTATCATGATTCCTTTGATCTCAGATTTGGAGGTCATCAAACCCTCAAAGAGAGAGAGGCGGCTTTCCATGTAAGAAACCACACTATTCATTGTCGTTTTGTCAAGGGACCCAAAGGAGTTCAAAGCAGTGGATTTGATTTGGATGAGAAGGACAACAAATTCATGAGTGGTTGTAATGTTGCTGTTGTTGGCGTTTTAACTAAACTTGTTTCAAAAGATGACTTTAATTACTACAACTCTTTTCATGTCGTGTGAATGTTGAAACTACTTTTCTACAATGAGTCTGAGTTAGATGTTTCAACATTAGTTCATAAAGAAGTTGGTGTATTATGTCAGATTTCATAACTATCTAATATTTTCTAGTAAAGGTAAATATTACTCACCTTAATTAAGAACCTTTATCTTGCATGAGTTAATGGTAAAATTATGATTTGAAAGGATAAGTTCCGGACAACACTTCGAGCATTAGTTTTACAAGCCTATTTATACTACCACTATTTTGTCTTTCAAGGGTGTCCCTTAAGCAAACTTTTCTTTGAGTCTTTTTCTTCCTCTTTCAATCCCACTTAAATATTGGATCTATATACTTGTTAGTTCGTGTGCTCTCTAACACTAAAAAGAGGAAGGCTTGTTTTATCTTGGGGGAACATTTCGTTACACCGAAATAGTCTCTTTAGGACAGTGCAATTTTACGCGACTCAAGTATTTTATTTGTTCATTGATTTAGCATTTTTGGAGCATTACCCAACAATCTAAAGAAACTATAGCTTCCAACAATGCTATCCTAAACAACGATATTACTACTGGTACTAAAGCTGCTCAAGCATCCCAAACTCCAACAGTGACGGTACCAGACTCAACCACTATTCCAATGGCACTACCTTTTGCCAAGCATTTTCCTGATGTCTCAAAAATTGAGGTCTTTGCCAATAAAAACTTCAATAGATGGCAAGACCGCATTCACTCTCTACTTGACATTCATGGAGTTGCCCACGCTCTTGTTGATCCACAACCTGATGCAACAGTTGATGCCAAAACACTTGAACTATGGCAACATAAAAACAAGATTTTTCGCCCACACTATCTTGCAAACTATTTTTGATAAGTTGTTTGACGTGTATTGCAACTACAAGGATGCAAAGATAATTTGGGAAGTGCTGATAAAAAAGTACAAAGCGGAAGACATAACAAAGCAAAAGTTTGCGGTGGGCAAATTCTACAAGTGGCATATGTCTGAAGAAAAGGAGATGAAGGACCAAACTAATGAGTACCAAAAATTACTTGAAGATTTGAAAGTTGAGGAGATTGTACTTCCGGAGAAGTTTGCTACGGGGGTATTGATTGAAAAGTTACCTGACTCATGGAACGATTACAAAAACAGCCTGAAACACAAACACAAAACCTTCACTCTGACAAACTCATCACTCATATCTTGATTAAAGATACCAACTGAAAGGCAACTAATGCTACCAAAGCCAAGGAGATGGCTCAGAAAGCTAACCTTGTTCAAGGTAAGAAATGTAAGCACGGTAAACATTGGCATGAAAACAAACCCTTGAATATAACTGGTAATCCCAATTTTAAGAAAATGAAAGGGAATTGTTTTGTTTGTGGAAAACCAAATCATCATGCTGCATAGTGCAGGAATAGAGTAAAAATAACCATGATCAAAGAATTCCTCCTAAACCTAATTTAGCTGAAGGAAATGATATCATTGTTGCGATTATTTCTCAAGCATACATTGCCGCAAATGTGAAAGAATGGGTGATGGACTCTGGGGCTACTCGGCACATATGTGCAAATCGAGAAGCATTTACCTCCTACACTACTGTGGGGGATGATGAAGAGATTGTCTATCTTGGAGACTCACGGACCATTAAGGTTGTGAGTAAAGGCAAAGTGATCCTAAAACTTACTACGGGAAAAACCTTGGCCTTTAATGATGTGTTACATGTCCCTACAATAAGGGCAAATTTGGTTTCTGTCTGCTGGGCAAAGCCGGTGTCAAAGTGTCGTTTGAGACTGATCAAATTGTTATGACTAAAAATAATGTCTTTGTGGGTAAAGGTTACTGTAATCAAGGTCTGTTTGTACTCAATGTTTCTAGTGTCATCAATGATAATGCATCCACTTCTGATTATATTGTTGACTCTTTCTCTTTATGGCATGCTAGACTAGGACATGCTAGTATTCGTTATATAAAGAAAATGCAATCTCTTGATTTGATTTCTGACATTAACTATGATAATGTGGCTAAATGTGAAATATGTGCTCAAACAAAAATAACAAAACAACCTTGTAAGTCTGTTGATTGAGAAACTGAATTGTTGAGTTTGATTCATACTGACTTAGGTGATGTAAAACAAACCATGACTAGAGGTGGTAAAAGATATTATGTGACTTTTATTGATGATTTTTCAAGGTATGCTAAACTTTATTTGCTGAAAAATAAAGATGATGCTTTCAATGCTTTTGTCTTACAAATTTGAAGTGGAAAATCAGCTAAATAAGAAAATTAAAAGAATCTGGTCTGATAGAGGTGGTGAGTTTTTATCTCTAAATATTTTCTGTAAAAATAAAGGTATAATTCATTAAACTACACCTCCTTATTCTCCTGAGTCAAATGGTGTAGCTGAAAGGAAAAATAGAACTTTAAAAGAAATGATGAATTCTATGTTAGTTAGTTCTCATGCACCTGATAATTTGTGGGGTGAAGCTATTTTATATGCATGCCATTTACAAAATAGAATTCCTCATAAAAGAACTGGCAGAACACTTATGAATTGTGGAAAGGTTATGAACCTAATTTGAAATATTTGAAAGTGTGGGGGTGTCTTGCTAAAGTGATGTTGCCTGAATCTAAAAAGAGAAAAATTGGTTCAAAAACTTCTAATTGTATGTTTATTGGTTATGATGTGCATAGTCCTGCATATAGATTTGTTTTTATTTTGAAAAGTGATGTGTTAGATGTTAATACAATCATTGAGACTAAGAATGCTAATTTCTTTGAACATATTTTTCCACTATTTTATAAAGTTTCTCATGAACCTGTTGAAAGAAATAGAGAAGTCGATTCTACTGTGGAATTGAGACGGAGCATAAGGTCGAGAAAAGAATTTTCTTTTGGAAGTGATTTTCAAACTTTTCTTGTTAACAGTGATCCGGTAACATTTTCTAATGCTATTACTTCTTCTGATTCAAAATTTTGGAAAGAAGCAATTAAAATGAAATTGATTCTATCATGAAAAATAAAACTTGGATTTTCTTGGTAGATTTACCTCCTGGTGCAAAACCTATAGGTTGTAAATGGATGTTAAAACTGCAGTTTTTAATGGTGATTTAGAAGAAGAAATTTATATGTTACAACCTGAGGGATGTGTTGTCGTAGGACAAGAAAATAAAGTTTGTAAATTAGTTAAATCTTTATATGGTCTTAAACAAGCTCCGAAAAAGTGGTATGAGAAATTTGATTAAGTCTTACTGAGAGACGGATTTTTATCTGTGGAAGTGGATAAATGTGTGTATACTAAAGTGGTTAATTGTGGCTGTGTGATTATTTTCTTATATATTGATGACATGCTTATATTTGGTACTAGTTTAGAAATTGTGAATAGTACTAAATGTTTCTTGTCTTCTAACTTTGATATGAAAGATCTGGTGAAGCAAATATGATCTCGGATGTTAAAGTCATTAGGAGGGATGATGGTATTATGTTGTCACAGGAACACTATGTTGAGAGACTTCTTAAGAAGTTTAATTATTTTGAGGTAACACCTGTGAGTACTCCCTATGACTTTAGCATTCACTTGAAAAAGAATCGTGGTGACCCAGTTGGTCAGTCTAAGTATGCTCAGATTATTGGGAGTCTGATACACTTGATGAACTTTTCGAGACCTGATATAGCTTAGGTTGTATGTAGGCTGAGTTGATATACTCATAATCCCAACCGTCAACATTGGTCTGCAATAGAGAGACTGATGAAATATTTGAGAGGAACCATTAATTATGGTATCCTATATAATGGATTTCCGTTGTCCTTGAGGGTTACAGCGATGCTAAATGGATCTCTGATTCAAATGAGACGAAATCCACTAGTGGTTATGTATTCATCATTTATGGTGGTGCAATAACGTGGAGATCAGCCAAGCAAACTTTAATTACTAGGTCCACTATGGAGTCAGAGTTTATAGCTCTGGAGATGGCTGGTTCTGAGGCTGAGTGGTTAAGAAATTTCTTAACCGATATCCCTTTGAGAAAGGATGCATTGCCTCCTGTGCTTGTGCACTGTGATTGTCAATCAACAATTTACAATGCAAAGAATAAATCATATAATCCAAAGAGACGTCATTTAAAATTGAGACAAAATATTGTGAGACAATTGCTCAGAGATGGAATTATTTACATAGAGTATGTGAAGTCAGAAGTGAATTTGGCCTATCCACTGACTAAACCTATTGGAAGAAAAATAGTTCTTCAAACCTCATATGAGATAGGGCTTAGGCCAACTTGAAGTCAACAAAGATGGTAACCCAACCTATGTGATTGGAGACCCCATGAATAGGTTCATATGGGTAATAACAAGTCGATGTTAGGCTCTGACTGCACTAGATTTTATATCATTGTATGATAGTGCTTTAACTGCTATTATATTGGAGGGATGAGTTTTAAACTCTTAATAATTTCATATTCCTTATGGATGGTGTATTTAAAGTAGTGTACACTTGCTGAATCACCTATATGAGAGTGGAGTGGGGCCGCTCCTAGAGGGGTTTATTAGCCGATCCCTTAGAGCTTTCATGAACTACCAAGCACGCGCACGGCCGAAATAATGCGCATAAAACACGTTGACAACAAGTTATGGGTTGCAATGTGGTTGGTAAAACCTCTGTTATACAACTAAGAATTTTTTGGTTCAAGAAATTTATTTCACCAGTGATTCTGTATGCCATTTTCTATCGATCTAAGTTTGGTTCAAGTCTGAAAGACACCAAACTGATGCGTTGTTACCTTTATGAGGACCCCAATTCGGTGCCGCTCAGTTGGGACAAGCCTTGCTTAAGTCATTTAGGGAAACTTTATAAATTGAATGGTTCGTAGGAATTAAATCAATTCCATCAGTTTAACAAACACAAATACTACCTGAAATATATTTTCAAAAAAAAAAAAAAAAAAATCCATTTCCTAACCTCTTTGTTAACCGACTCAAAATGACGGGATAGAGTTCAACTCATTTAAAAATTAATTCCTACTTCAAATATCTCCAGAACCTACGCACTTCCATTGGAAAAAATAAAAAAAAAAAAAAAACCTCAAAATGGCTATATTTTCAACTTTGTTTGCTGAACCAATTTGACCCCATTTTCTTTTAATTAAATCTTTCACCCACCGATCCATTCTCTTAAAAAGAACATCCTTCTGCCAAACCCATTTTTCACGAATCAAAACAGCCCCATTTTCTCCATGTTTTTTTTTAGCTTCCAACTGAACTAAAACAAAATGAATTAAAGGAATGGAGGAAAAGTTCAAGTTGCCTAACTCCTCCTCCAGAAGCATCATCATAGTCATCTTCATCCTTTCATCAATTCTTTTTGTTTTTCCTTTCATTTCTTCCAACAGTCGATCTCCACCTCCTTCACAAAATCTCAATTAAAAACTAAAAGATTAGATAAAGAAATGGTGAGGAAGCTGAAATCCAAGCTTTGATAGAAGGAGCAAATAGCCGAGGAGAAGAAGGAATAAAATAATATATCGACTCATCGAAGGGGCTGGTCAGGCGAAGCTCGAAGAGTGGAAGACCGGGAAAAAAAAATGGGGGGGAAGGAGATTAGCGTTGAAGTTTTGTTGATGCCGCATAATCGACTATGATTCTTATTGCCTCAAATCAACAGGTTTCACTTCACTCTTTTGGGTTTGAAATTTTAAAATTAAACTATATATTATTCTCGTTTGGTTCTGGATTAAAAAAAAAAAAAAGGAGTTTTAATTTGAAACTTAGAACGTAACTGTGAAGTTAAAAGCCACCAGACTTGGGGATTTAACTTCCGATATCTATAGCGAGGGGTTTAATCTGTTCCTTTTGAATTGGGGTATAGATCAGCTTCCTATATTTTAAATGAAGTTGAAATTGGAGTTGGGTTCGATAAAATTGATGCGGTAGGTAGCTATATTAATTTGATTTTGATGCGGTTGATGTTGTTCTTGCTGTCGTCGATGCTATGGTTTGTGATATTACTTTGAGAGAGGTAGGCAGGCTGAACCACAATCTTAGTAAACTGATTAGGTAGCAACTATAACTAAAATTTCTTAAACTTGAATAAACACTAAAAATGTTAGATGTGAATCGGGGAAACTGCTTTAATAACGTTAGACGGTCTTAGAGTGCATAGAATTGTTTCTACTACTTAAAAAAAAAAAAAAAAAAAAACTGATTTATGGGAAACATGACAGGGCGAGTTGATATAGGATATTGATTCTGATGCTAAACTTGTGGACATGAGAACACCAAGGTGAGTAATCTCACTGTATATATAAATATAATTGCATGATAATTAATTAGGATAATTGCATGAAACCAGGATGCATGTCTACTGTTTGCTCAGTCAATCTTGATTGAAAATGTTGCATATCATGTTTGTCCCATGTGTGTACTTTATCACGCTGGGTAATTGAATAACTTGAATATATACTGTCGATGTCGAGTCTCTCGACAGTTGATTTGCTTGATTGTAACTATGCCTGATGTTTGACCTTTATTGCTTGACCTTGCTTGCGGCCATGTGTACTCTATCGCATGTGCTGTACAATGTAAATTGAGTACCGTATGTGTACATTGAGTCTTGCTTGAACGTGTGCATGCTATCAATGGTTAGTCATGGATCTATGCACCCTTCTAGTTCAAGGTAAATCCATACGTGTCGGCATAGGGCCAGGACGTATTGGGTATTACTACTAGGAGGTTGGTTATCTCGAGATATACCCTCAATGAATGAAAGAATGTTGGGGCGTTGGTTGTCGATGCGCACTCTCTAACTACTGACCTTGTGACAAATTGTGAGACCAGCTAGAAGTTGTTTCTGTAAGACCCAATTCTTCCTAAATGGGCATGACCAACTTTATCTACTCATCTGTATCCACGACTTTCCAGTAAATGTGCTTGCTTTATGTGTACAGGTCTTCAAGCCACTCCGGCTGAAATAAAGAAGGGTTTCAAAAGGGCCGTTTCAGCTCCTTGGTCTGAGAAAATTCGTTACCAGGTTTGCAAATTTATGATTTGAAACCTCTTAGTTCTGTAGCTGGTTGTGTGTTGAGAAAACTTATAACTTTACTTTCCTCCAAGCATGGTGCGGAATATTTTATTTTGTCATCTGAATATTGAACATCAGCTATTGTCATGAAGGATCTGAAGATTACCCTGAGAATGTTTGAAGTGGCAGTGAACAGTTTTACTCTTGTAGCATCTCTTATAGTTATTCCTTGCTAGTTGTCCATGCTGTTTAAAATAAAGTGTGAAAGATCTCCAAGATTCCAATGTTAAGGCATACAATGTCCCTATCTAAGAAGTGTTTCCAATGTTAAGGCATACAGTGTCCCTATCTAAGAAGTGTGTGGGATGCTTTTCACAGTTCATGAATGCCATTTTATGGCCACCAAAGATTTTGTAGAGATTGAATATTTTCATGAGAGGTCTTCAGTGCTGTAGAACTAGAACAATTTCACTCTGTGAGGGTGTCTCTGATAACTAATCTTAACATGTCATCAGAAATTGTTACCGTAGGCCTAACTAAAAGTTTGCCTCCACCAGCCTGATTACGAGCAGGCTTTTGTATGTCTCAACTGTAGTCTGATTGTCTTTGTAGCATGATATTAAATGTACGGAATCTATTTCTGGAATTTATCATCAATCAGTATTGGCTTTGATCAAATTTTTTAGTCAAGCTAAGTTCATACTGGCACATGCGTATAATGCTAAATGTTCTTTGCAGCATTCCCTTTCTGCAATATAGGCAAACTTTTATCAAAGAGTAGAGTTGTATATGTTTTTTGGCCTATACCTCTTTCGTGAGTTATGAGGGTAAATATGACTGATTAATTAATGTTATCCTGGAAACACTTGTTAAGAGTTTTCCGGTGAGAAAACTGAAATGTACATTGAGAAAATTGATATGACATACCGTGTGACCATGAATTTTTTCCTCATTGTTTATGCTGGTGTATTCTGCAATATGACAGGGTGATGGAAAGCCATTTTGGAAACTTAATGTTTCTGAGGCGACTGGCTGTGATAATGTTGATTATTTTGAGGAAGTTTATGAGGTAATAGAAATTCATTTTATAATATTTTTAGTTACACTTATTGTATATTTATAGTTTTTCCTTGAGATCTTATACGAGCAGTAACTGACTTGTTTAAATTTTGTTACCAGTACTATGCCCATGGTAATGTGTGGCATCTTCCAGTAGGAGCTCAAGAGACAATATCTGTTTTGAAAGATTCAGGAGGTCATCAAGTACTCTATCTCTACTAAGATTACTTGATTAGATAATAGCCTCTTTCCTTTCAATTTCTGAAGCACAAGACATGTAACAGTGAAACTGGCTGTTGTATCCAACTTTGACACTCGATTGAGGAAGCTATGAAAGATCTGCTGCATATGTTAGACCTGTAAGTGCCTGCATTCAATTTTGACTCTATTATCTTGTTTACTGAGTGACCCCTTATATCACGGTGGTGTTACTATTGTTTCATCAAGTAGAATAAGACTAGGCTTTCCTTCCCAGGAACAAGAATATGTATCCTATAAGAAGTTTTAGCTCAGAATAGCATATTGTCTGCATAATGTTTGATGGGCCAGATCTGTAGATGCTTCGGAACTCCTTTCAAACGAAACTGAATGATATTAAGATTGGCAGAACAAAGGTTTTCTAACATTTAACTTGTGGGGTTGTTTACGAAACAAAAAAGAAAAGAGTTTACCAAAAAAGAAAAAAAATTGTGTAGGGTCAATTGCATGTTTGTAGGATGAAGAATATACAACTTGCAGTGCTTTATGGTTTCTCTTTTCCTTCTGTCTCTGGATCAGATTTGATGCTGTTGTCATATCTTCAGAGGTTGGGCATGAAAACCCGGATCCCAAAATATTCACTGCTGCTTTGGGTATGTGTTTAAAAATCATCTTCTACATATATGATGACTCTGACATTGCTATATTCTTGTTATGGGACTGCGTGACAGGCCTTCTTCAATGTAATTTAAGGTCTGCGGTTAAATCATATAAATGACAACTCCGACGTGTCTCTTTTATGTAGTTGCAGAAATTTATTTGTTTGTATATTCATATTCTAATGGCATAGGTTTGTAGTGTTAGTGACCGATTGTTGTATTCATTTTTTGACATTCTTTATAGATATGCTTTCCGTGGAAGCTACGAGAGGCCTTCATGTTGGAGACGATCTCAAGGCTGATAAAGAAGGAGCCAATGCAGATGGCATGGACTGCTGGTTAGTGATGAACGTTTTCTTTTTTTCCTATTCCATAAAAATCATATTCACTATTATCCTGGGAATAAAAGATCGCTGATGGTGTGTTACACTGAGTGTGTACTTAGAATATACGACTGCTCTTTAGCTGATGCCCATATAACATTTCTGTCTAAACAGGTTATGGAGCAAAGATGTGAAGACATTTTCGGATATTCAAAGGCGAATCCTTCTGGCAGAACCATAAGTTCGAAATTTAAAAGTGAAGGGACCATGTGGAAACAATTTACCTAGAAAGAAGCTTTCTCCTCCTGCTTCAAGTCGTCCAAGAAGTAAGGATTCACTCCTTGTGCTGGGGGTCAGGAAACTTGTTCTTTTAACATGCACTTGCAAGGTGAAAAATAAAAGACCGAAAAATTGGTTGCTCTTTTTACCGCTTTAAGAGATGACAGATTGACAGGACATAAACCTGCTCGATCTGACTTGGATAAATCCAACAGCAACCCTGAATATACTCGTGCTGAACTTTTTGTTTATGGATATGAACTGTACTATTGAGGAAATGCTATGCAAGATGATATGATCCCTTTTTTTCTTTTTTCTATTCCACGAGGCATTGTAAGTGCCACTGTTCAGTGTATCTTTTTTTTTTTTAATACAATTTTTACAAGCACCTAGACTATTACATGTTTGAGTTTAGAGAATGAAGGGACTACTAACTTTCATCAGTAATAACCCAAAGCCTCGTGGAACTAAAATTTCAAGCTTAAGAACTGACTTGATTCTCTGACTTACGCTAATCTGCCCAATTCCTTCCCTCTTTCCTATTTCCTCCCTTTACCGAAGAATTCCTATCACCTTTTCAGTCCCACTACTTTCTCCAATTTCAACAATTTTAATAGCACATGATTGGAAGTCGGTAATGGCAAAGGTGATGAACTAGGGTTTTTGACCTTTGCAGAAGCAACCTTCAAATTAGGAATCTCATTTTTCACAGGTTGAAAGCTTTCCATGAGATTAGAGATCTCTTCTTCCAGCTACTGATTGTTCTTCTCCAAGATTGCTTTCCCTCTCCTCTTGGGTCTCCCCGCCATGGCAAGCACAGATTGTGCTGGAGACATTTTGCTAAAATCACACACACTAAGAGTGGAATCGCACGTAGTGAGGACAATATGAATATTGTTATTCCTCCTTAGTAATGTTTGTATATACATAAAAAAATAAAATAAAATTATTACTTATACTTGAACAAATTTGTAAAGTAATACAATCATTAATATTCTTTGTAACAGACGGATTTAACCTCTAATTGATAAAGATGCGTAATCATTTCTGTCATCCCTCTGATAGTAGATCATTTTGATTGTTCAGAATAAGACAAAGTTAGGCTGGAAAGTGGATATGCTCTCCGTCCCGCCCAACAATTCATTAAACGAAAGAAAGGGTATTGTTTGTGGCACTTCATATAATACTAGGTGGGGGAGGCTGCACGTTGTGCAGCGTAAGGTGAATACCTTTTTTTGTACCTTTGTTTTGAGGGATTGGAAGTAGAATGCGAGCATTATAAGTCTATCTAAATGTTTAGCATTATATAATGTACTTAAGGTTAGTAGAGTGGCGCATAAAAGCACTTGTAATGTAACATCTTATCTATAATTCTAATATAGCATGATATTTCCAGGAAAAAAATGCAAAAGAATAATTTGAAATTAGTAATTTTATTTATATAGTTGTACATATACATGATAATAATTTACTCAATTATACATGTAACCTAGGTGACTAGGTGTGTAGCTCAGTCATGAAAGTTTGATTGACAATAAAGTTCAAGTTAGAAACTGCTTTTAATCCTCCACCAGAACCTCTTTATCTCAATGAGTACATTTCTGAGTCTACGATTCAGGGGACGTAAAGTCCCAGTAAGACAACTGCCAAAAATCCAATCTTGCTTGGATAATACCAGATTCACTGCTCAGTTTTGCACAAAATAGCTAGACATGCTCCACATGAGTACTGATAAATACGCAGCTTCAATATCACAATCAGTTAGTTGCAGATTCACAATGATCAAATTTAACTTTTCAATAGTTTCAGTAAATCGAAAGCAAAAGGGAGGAATGGAAACCTACACAGTCAAGTCCATTAGAACAAAAAGGTAGCTTGGTTCTTTAACTTGCTAACAACTCGTAGAAATAACCTTCACAATAAAACCCATTAACAATGAATCATTTTTACAGAAAGCTTAATTAATGATTAAACCTTTTAGTTCAGCTATTAATTCCATAATGAAGTTTTTGAGCTGCCAATTAATGTCCTTCAATCCTGAAGCCTGGAACCTTGCTGCACTATTAGTGAGAGTAATTATTGATTTACATGCCATGTAGTTGTATGCATGCCTAAATAAGTTATTATGTTTTGAGAATTACTTTTGCTTATACATTAATTGATGTTACTGATAATAAACACTGAAGGGATTTCACATTCACTCTTGTAAATGAAATAAAACTGTCATCGACATATAGAATACAAGCAAAGAAAATATATCACATTTTCCAGAACTTCAGTTCATCTCAGAGAATGCTTTTTTGTTTTCTTGTGAATGTAGAAAGGGGTTTCAAATCTGATTTAAACAATAACATCGAAAAACATGACTACAGATGATAAGAAAAGTGTCAAGATACTTGATGTAGGCACCTGGAAACCAACTCATAACCCAAGAGAAAGTGACAATACCTTTCAGGGGATGCAATTCTTTCATGTTTCGAATGAGAATGAGCAAGGAGTTGTAGCCTTTGATGAATTTATCCATTGCCAGGGCTCGCAGTGAAAGTTGAGGAGCCGAATTCTAGTGTGTCTTCTGGGGATGCCATCTTTTTACACCCACACAGAGCGAGTGCTTGAGGAGTGTGACCATTCAAGGCAGGTAACTCAATTCTGTATGAAAGACATCAAGCCCGCTAAATTTCTAACGAAGGTAGCATGCTGAATATCATAGAAATATGCGAAAAGGAAGACATATAAACTTTCATGATTTGACTCTAATATTCACAACCGAGTAGCACAGACTACAGCACTGAAATCGTCAAAAAGCAGTTTAAATGTTTCTTCTCTTACAACAGAGTCTCATTTTGACAGGTAAAATAAGATATAAAGATATAAAATACTATAGGAATTTTAGCTGTGTAAGAAATAGATTTGCCACTGGTAATCAAAAACACATTGAATTTATGTTCTTCACTCATAAAACACACAAAGAAAAATTTAACCCAAAACGGATAGAATGCTACCTAAATGGACCTTAAGACAACAAATGTCATTCAACTACTAAACCAAAATACAATGTATAGATTGATCACTAATTAGGGAATAAGACCTATTCCTGTGTAGGATAACAGTGGAGAAGTTAATAAAATACAGAATTTACAAATAAATAATCCCCAAATCTGAAGATGTGACATCAAAATATGGAAGTCATCAAAGAAAAGTTAAATTCCACACACCTAAATTTCAAATTGCCATTTTATATGCTTTTCTTGTTTCATTTACATATAACGGAGTCAATCAAAGTTCTAATCTTTTGAGGTCATCAAATAAAAGTTAAATTCCTCGCACTCAAATTTCAAATTACCATTTTATATGCTTTTATTGTTTATTTACATATAACAAAGTCAATCAAAGTTCTAATCTAAACGTTTAACACTCAGATAAAGAGGCACACTCACACAAACAAAAAAACAAACACTTTAAGTGCACATCAAACACCCAAACTGGGGATCCATCCTTAATACCCATAAAGAACATGTTGTTTTTTGTTTGTCCAATTTAAAGCAAATCCAAATCGCACCAAATGCAAAGGTAAGTTTAAAACAAATTAAAGAAACACAATATGTACCATGGGTGGCAAAGAATGAGAACACGAGAAAACCCAAACAAAGCCGAAAAATCAAACGTCGAAGAACATAATTATAAACTCACCTCTGGTAGATTCAGTCTTCTACAAATCGATCTAAACAGTCCTTGAATTGTAAATAGATGGAATGAAAGAAAAGAAACAAAATTTTGTTGTTCCAATACAGAATACGTAAACGACGGCAAACGAAAAGTGCCAAAGGTAGCCTAATTTCTCCTCTATTCCGGCCTAACTGGAACGGGAATACAAAGAGCTCCGATGAAAAATAATATAGATTGAATAATGGATTGACAAAATTGAAGAATAAGAACCACCGAGGGTGTGAGCAATCGAAGAGAAAATGAAATTTGACAGGAACCGGTGCCTGATGCTGCGCTGGAACCAAGTGACTAACAATCAATTGCCGTGCAACTAAGTGACTAACAAAGAGTTAGAATTTAAGTCCTAACTACCACCATAGCCACAACAACGAAGCATTCCCAATGTGTGAAAGCTAGTAGATTCAAACTTTCAAATAAAATTTTAATGAAGGTGAACCCAGGAAATTTTTTGCTTCGGTGAGTCGAGAATTAAAAATAATTCAAATGAATAGAAGGAAAATGTTATAATTAGGCTTACCATCCTGGTGCCCGACACATTTATATGCCACCGTCGGTATCCACAGGTTCTCCCACTTCCATGTGGCTCTGAATCCTCCACTACCACCACCAGAATAACCATGTTATCTGCACTCCCTTTGGAGTTTTATTCGTATTAGTGGTTACCAATTTTGTAATATCTGAATTAGATTTATTAACATTACAGAAACACAGGACTTATCTAATTCACAAATCAATCAACAATCAGGATTAGTAGTACAGTAATACAAATAAAAAATTGATCTTTTTTCTCATGCGGTGAGTGCCCTGAGAAGAGAAAACCAACCACTGAGAAATTGATCTTCTTTTTTGAAATATGAGTATTGATACTGAGAAAATTCGATGGAGACCGCCAACTGAAAACCAGTAGATTTCATCCAAATCAAATAAAAATTAGATAAAAGAAAACCAAACTATCATCTAAAAATGGAAAGGATTAAAACTTGGTAATCAAATTCCTTGAATTCCATGATTTCGATGAGATAAAAAGTGAAAAACACAAAGTTCGTACGATTATAAAAGGAGCAAGTGAAAATTAGGCTTACTGTGCTTCTTATTACCCACCTCTTGTACGCAATCCGTTCCCTTCTCAACACCCTAAGACCATTGTCTGCACCGTCACTGCCAAGACCAAACTTCTTTCTTCTCTGGTACTGGGATGCAGATGCAAAGATCTTCAAAAATATTCAGATTAAAAATTCAGTCGACAAAATTGAGGATAAAGAATTAAAGAAGGTTGAGCTATTGAGTATTGATACTGAGAAATTAGATTAAAAGATAAAGGCAGAGAAGATCCACCGCGAAAAGTAAAGAACTTCGCAAATCCGCCGTTTCGCTCAATCCAGAACCATAGCTGTAAAGAAAATGATAGAAAAGATGAAGGAGAAACACAAATTCGAGAGAAGCAGGCGACAATGACAACTGTGAAGAAGTTCACCGAGTGTGGCTTGCCACGCGTCGTTGGCCGATCGGGAACGGTACACAAACTGGTGCTGATCCGGTGAACTGCACCTTATATTACTTAGATATGATTAAAGAGAGAAAAATCTTGTTAAAAAATAACTATTTTCTTTTGGTCAAAATAAAATGACATGAAAGGAAAATTTCTGCTTATAATTATAAAAGTCATCAAACAATTCAATTTGGATTTCTCCATATAAATGCTCAATACTCTTGAACTCAACTATGAATACTGAAACAATGTCTAAATCAAAACAAATGAAATATTTGAAATGTGGCTAATCTAGAAAACAATATTTACACAATCAGATTGATCAAGCACACTTGAGAATTTCTAGTGAAAATTAATAAAGAAGAAAAACAACCAAATCATTAATTTTTATCCATCATTGATTTTCAGCTTGCTGTGCCAGGAACGAATTTCATGCACATAGGAGGGTTAACACCAACTAAGGCAAGAATGGCAGCAGGAACCGACCACAAAGACTCCCCACAAATCAACCCGGAAGCCACGGCCGGACCGAATTCCTTAGCCTTCTGTTTGTTTTTCCGCTCCCAAGCGAAAAGAATCAAGCTCCCGACGCACATATCTATGGTGAAATATCCTCCGAGATAGAACGGAATCGCCATGCACATCGGGCTCGGGATGAACCGATAAATCCTGTACGTCTTCTCGACGTGTTTCAGAATCTCCGCAATGACGTTGAGCGCGACGGCGGCGCAGAAGCATATGACTGCGAGGTTCACGCAGTGTTTGGGCAGCGAGGACAGGCCCTCGACACCCAACAACGCGATCCCGCGGTACATGGCGGCGAACGGGGCGGGATATTTCCCGTCCGGGTCGCCAACAGAATAGGCCGTGTTGAAGAACCAGAACACCGCTGGGGAGATCAATACGCCCATTGCGGTACCGATCACCTGGCTGAAGAACATGGTCCGAGGCGAGGCGAGGGTTAAGTACCCCGTCTTGAAATCTTGCATCAGATCCGAGGCAGTCGAAACGATGCTCATCATGACACCGCAGGCCGCAAGGCCCGCGATGACACCGCCATCGTCCGCACCGACCCATGCGCTGAGCGTCAGGATGGCAATTTTCCCGTAATTCGAGGCCAGCGACCAGTCGGTGAGGCCACAGCCGTACGCATTGCAGAATGCCAAGACCGGCGCGATGAGGTACGACACGCCGACGTGATACCATTTCAGCCGTTGCTGGAAAAGGAAAGGAGTCGCCACCATGCACAGTACCGCCAGGGAGACGTAACCGGCGACCGCGTACTTTACGGGGATTTGGTCCTTCAAGAAATATTCCGTCCGGCGCTTTGTATCGTAGTCTTTGATTTTCGCAACCGCGCTCGAGTCGTCCGGGTTCACGGATGAGTCCTTTTCTGATGATTTCTGAGCCCAACTTACTGCTGTCACGATCAGCATGTACACCACATGGTAAAGACCATCACCAAGCATTGTCGCAACTGCCAGAAATATCTACCCATAACATAGCAACAATTTCATTATGGATTGTTAGCCAAATTCTCCAACAAACTTACTACTACCATTTATGCTAGTCCTAATTAGTTGTGATCTTTTCTTGTAAGTGATGGACCCAGAACGATGCTTTCTATATCAAATTAAATGGAAAACTAGACATATGCAAGAAACTGAATGTTACGGTTTTGTGAAGGATTTTCTTTTTCGGTTTTCTTTACCACTATCATACTCTCATGTTATCGTATGAAATAAATGTCACATTTTTTTGGTATGAAAAGCTCAAGCAAGGATGTGGTTCATAATAACTACTAACGCTACCAAAAGGGGAAAAGAAAGAAAGGAAAAAAAAGTGTAACTTCAACAAAATGGCTTAATTTGGAGATTTATAGATATGGAATAATCATACCCTGTATCCCTGGATACCGTGAAGACTAGTTGCGCTGAGATCGGCGGGATACCAGTCGCCGGCTTTTTTCGAGATAAGAGGCCACATGACTCCCCAAGAGAGAACGGCGCCGATGAGCATCGATATATTCACCATATATGGGCAGATCATCCCAACTCCGACGTATGTCGATGAGAAGTCAAAAAAAAACCTGAAAGTTTTCTTCTATCAGTAATGCAGATGCATATACAAGAACTTTTTGGAAGTAATTTAGTGTTTCTGATCATCATCAATTTACACCCCCAAATTCCACGCAAAGGTATACTACGAAAAGAGTACTTTTATTTGATGAACGCAGAAAGTAAATCAAATCATGATACATACTTTTGTTTATATGCTTTAAACCCAAACGTAGGGAAGTTAGCGAAGCCGCAGTCGCCCGTAGCACCGGTGAAAAACCATTGAAATCCAGCGAACAGAAAGCTAAAGCTGAACCAGTTGAACAGCTTCGCAACTTGTTTCCTGAGTAGTAGAAGAGTGAACAAAAGCTTCAGTTATAGTATTCGGTTTGCATAGGAGGAATGAAATGAAATGTCATTTGGGAAGGAGCCACCAGAGATTAGGTTGTTAAAGTCATTATTGTTTGGGTTATGAGTCAACAGAGAAAAATTAGAGGTGTCAAGAGTGTGGTACATTTATGATTTAATTTCAAGGTGGAATACAAACTCTGCGAAAAATAATTACACATTATAAATTATGAAAAATAATTATAAATTTGAAATTGATAATGCAAACTAGTTGTATGGAGCGAGAAAATACAATACAAGAATCGACTTACTTTGCCAGCTTAGCACCCCTGGGCGTGTGGAAACTGTTAATGAGGTACGCCGTGGCGGTTCCACTAGGGTATGTGAGTTTATACTTCAAAATCATCACCTTAAATATTATGAACCAAGTTTCGAATTAATCACCACCATAAACGTCAATTTATCAATGCATATAAGTATATTAGCCCCATCATAAAGGTTATGGATCTGTTTTTTTTTTTTCCTCATTAAAAAATTGCGAAAACGCATATCCATACATTGTAGTGCAGAATGTATGGCTTAGTACGAGAGGATAACATGATACTGTTAATGGTTCCACTTAACGCAAGATAGACACAGTTCGTACGTACTTATTATTTTAAAACTAATGTTTCTTAATACTCCTTTCTCCACATTGAGTTTTGAGTTTTGCATTGTTTTTAGTACAAATTTGAAAACTAAATGTAAACTTTTTTTTGGGACAGATGTAGTATTTAGAATGTAATGCTTTCAGAATGATTACATTTTAAAATTGTAAAGCGTTGTTATTGCACCAACGTATTCCAATAGTTTATTTTAAAAAAAATAAATAAATAAAACTTGATTCTACACAACATGGAACTAGTAAATTTATATCAAATTATTAGAACTAGTAATTAACTAATCCTAACATGGAGTGGAAGCATGCAAAAAAAATTCAGATAGGGGTTGATCATGTGTCATATAATCACCACTATAAATAATACTGATTTTACTAAATTTAATATAATATGTACTATTAGAAGTGACATTCTAAATTAAACAGTAATTATTATTTCGGAATGGAAAGAATATTATGGGGGATTCAAGTACCTTACGGAGGGGTACAATGGAGAAGAGGCCAACAAAGCTGACAAGAGCAAGAAACGGATAGATCCATGCAAGATCGAGTTTCTTGACGTTGACGGGAGTGTTCCCGAGATCAGCGGCTTTGGCAATCTTACCACTCATACCCAGCAGATAACTGGCCGTCCCGCTGCTGAAGGCGATCCCGGACGACGCCACGATGCAGGTCTGGATCACGGTGTTCTCCTGGCGCGTGAACGGCTGCTTCAGGAGGCCGCACTGCCCGATCACCGCCGTGTACGACTTCACGATGGCGAAGCCCAGCAGCCCCGCCGCCACGTTCAGCGACGGGATGATCCCGGTCGTCAGGTTCAGCTTGCACACGATCACGTTGAACACCACGCTCAGCGCCGCGCTTGTCGTCACGGACCGAAACGTTATCTGCTTCGTCCACGGTGGCACCGACAGGTTCGCGAATGATCTCTCCATGGAGTCTTTCGGAGGTGGTGGCCCGTCACAACCGTCCGTCGTCATCGCCGCCGCCCGCCGCCAACGGAATGATGAATTCTTAAGGAGGAGGAGGTCGTAGAGAGAAAATAATGATAATAACAAATAAGGAAATGGAAATGGAAATGGAAATGAGAAAAAAAGAGTTATAGTAGTATAAATCTTTACGGAGAATCCCGAAAATGGAGGAATTCTAAGTGGAATGAGACTGCTTGATAATAGGGCTGAAAGATGATGATAAACAACGCTGGCTGAATCTAATTCAAGATTTGAATGTGAATATATGTTTTCAGGTTTTATAATTGTTATCTCCTTAATTACCTTATTCTCATCAAACAAGGATTCTATCGTCTCCACTTCAATTAATACAACCACTCGGTCACTTTCTTTGTTTCCTTGGATATGTTGCATACAATGCATGTGCGAATCTCTATATATAATATATTTAAAAAATAATTATAAAGTTAATTCTCAAATTGTAAATCAAAAAGATCATGAAAACTACGGAAGATTATAATAAAAAATTATTCGGGATAAGAGATTTTGATTTTAAATTTTCTTAAAGAAGAATGATTATTCAGTTTATTAGATGGAATGGAGATAGTAATATTTACCCTTGGGAACTCAAAAGGACGTAGGATTTTGTTGTGGCATTACTAGTTTGGCTGCGTCGCCCTCGGCGCACTTAATAAAAGTACAAATAGTGATTATGTTTTCGTTTTTGATTTGGATGGGAAAAAAATATATTGTACATCTTATATCAAAAGCTGCATAGTGCGAGAATTAAATTTTAAAAAAATAAAATAAAAATAAATACTCTCTCTATCTTAAAATTATTGTCTAATTTAAAATTTTATTTTTAATACAATTTGAACTAAAAATAAAAACCCAAACTGAATAATAATTATAGAACGAAGGGAGAAATAAATAAAAACAGAACTGGTCTTAAGCAAGTGGATTGATTAGATTGGAGGTGAAAAAGAAGAATGTAAGAAAGAGGAAAAAGACAGGCCTCGGACTCTCTACACTCTGGTCTGTATCGACCGAGTGAACATGCCTGGCTTTTTTTCACAATTATTCCGAACAGCCCGACGTAAATTCTATTCGGAAAATACAAATCAAACTCTCTTTAAATTTAGAAAATTATTAGGTTAGATTGAATTACAATTGAATTGGAGTTACAATATTATTAAATTAAAAATAAGATATTAATATTGTAATTCAATCTCAATTTTCTTGTTTGGAAGATCTTGAAAATTTATTAGAATTAAGGTTCTAATTCCAATTCTTGCGTTTGGATGCATAAAAATTTGGATACTTTAGAATTGAAATTAGTTTGTTATTGTATAACTAATAATAGTACAATTTATACTTCTTATCAAAAACTTTTTTTAAAAAAAATTTATTTTATTATGGATATCTTACTATATTAGAAACAAAAACCACACTTAAGAGAAAGTACCATCATTTGCCATATGGCATTTCCACATCATATTTTTAAAATAAATCTTTATTTTCACATCTCCTAGACTTAAAAGGTAAATGCAGTTCAAATTCACCTCCACCTCCTATTTTTGCCAAAACAAAAAAAAAAAAAGACGGGTTCATAAAAAACCCAAATCCTCATCCCAATCTCCACGACAATCGACTCCCTAATTAATCCCTTTTCCACAATAAAAAAAAAACAAATTCCTCATCAATCATCAATTGAGAATATGTGGTGAAATATACTCATTTCCTATTAATATATTCAATCTTTTCATTAGTGATGATCAACTACATCCTGATCAGATAAAATTTCCATTTCAAAAATATTCTCTTTACCTTTCTATATAAACACAAAGGAAAAAAAAAATTTCTCATTGATCTTGCTTCGGCCGTTGTGGTGGTGCAATTACAGGTATTAAAATTTAAATGATTTTATTTCCACAGATCATTTGTTTGGCTTTTATTATTTTTTATTTTTCCCGTTCAAGAATAGTGTTATTACAATTATTTTTATGTGGCCATCCGTTACAGCTACCATAGCCGTTGTCAGGTAATATGATGTGATTTCTTATATAGTTAGTTAGCCTATAAGTTTTGTATGATTTTAGTTCTGTTTAGATTGAATTGATTAATTGAGTTTTTGTTACAAAGTGTGGTTTTTTTAATTTTTTTTTTAATGTTTCATTCAATTAGAGTGGTTTTCTTTTTTTAATTATGGAGTCTCAGTTTTTTTTCATATATGGTCAGTTTCGAAAAGTGTTTTTTCTTTGTTTAATTGTTTTTTATTTTGTTTCATACTCCCAGTTGACCAATTATTATTATTATTATTTTATTTTATTTGCAAATAAAGCGCTTTTTTTTTTTGTGTTCGGACTTTCAAGAATATACTTTTTGAATTTTGGTTTTTGGACTTTTTTTAATTTCTCATCATCTAAATAGTTCAGGTCGCTTCTTCTAACTAATTTATGGGAAAGTCTTTTATGAAGTTGAAGCGGAGAGGGAAAAAATGATGTTTCTACGTTTATTTGTATTTTATACAACATGTTTACCTACAGAAAAAAAAAAAAATTTTCTCAATTTTAAATGGTCTATCTTTTACTTTCTTTTTTTTTTATTTGTCATGGTGAGGTGAGTTCTTTTTTGGTATAACTTGAAACCTATGCAAATTTATATTATTTTCATTCTCATATTTGTGATCAACCAATTTCATCAATTAACCAGTTTTAAAATTATATTTTTGATATTTTACTACTTATAAACTTTTGGAAGAAATAGTTTCAACAATTAAGCATATAATCTTGGGAGGAAGCTTACTACAAAGCTATTATAAATCTCCAAAACTAAGTATTGATTTGGCACAACTGGAGAATATTAATAAATTATCTTACTAATATTTAAACTTATTAGGATGCTTTTATATTTTGTCTAGCATTTAATTCAAGACATATATTTGATCAAGTTTATTTATATTTAAGAAGTATACACTTATAAAACATTTCTAAAATCTTCAAACATTTCTAAAACGTACCGGGTCAAATACAATTTCTTTTTATGCTAAACATAAACTTTTTTATGATCACACTTATAAAACATTTCTAAATTTTTCAAACATTTCTAAAATATATCGGGCCAAATACAAAATATTTTTTTTCCAAATACAAATATTTCTAAGATATACATATATATTGGGCCAGGGTCGAGTATTGCGCGACCAGACATCACTAGTGTATAACATAAAAAAATAAATAAATTCATTATGTACATGTATATTTGACTACTTTGTGGTTGTTTAACTAATACAATTTTTATTTTTTTTGTTAAAACGGATTATTATTATTAATTAATTTGCTATATCAATTTTGTAATTTATTATGTACATACATTTTTGTTGGAAACAAAAGAAATATTATTACTTATAAGAACTATTAATATGATATTTAAAATTCTCACTTAATACACAAACAAGTAACACTTAAAACATCTTTGTTTTCTTCTCTTTTATTATTTTTCAAAATTTTTAATTTTTGATGTTTTGATTTATATCAAAAATTAAAACGATTTTTATTATATAATATTGTAAATTCAGTTTATGAATATTGAGGTTCATTTATACATAGATTAACATTAGTATATAATATATGCTTAAATGTTTTTATTTTTAGTGATATGAAATAATAGATACTTAAAACTCAAGTTACATAATTTTTAGTGAAAAGATGCCATGAATAGTTAAAATATATATATATATATATGTATTACAATATAGGTGTATATATGGAACAATTTCTATTAAAAAATGAAAATGTTATGTAGTTTACTATGTCATAATATAATAAAAATATTAACCAAAACTAAAATATTTAGTTATTAATTTTTTTAGGTTACAACTATACTTTTGATTTTTTTTGTAAAAAAGATACAATGTTAATTTTAGATTGATTTTGTTGATAATTATTAAAATAATAATAATAATAATAATAATAATAATAATAATAATAATAATAATGCGACAAACATCCCAAAAAAAAGAAAAACGTCAGGAAGCACTGAAAGAAAAAAAAAAGAAAAAGAAAAAAAGTTTTAAAAAATAAAATTATAAAAAATATATAAAAAAAGACCAAAAAACAAAAATTGATAGGACAACCCATTTAGGTTATAACCCGGAAACGACCCGGCTATGACCCGCATATTTTTTTTAAGTGCCTTGAATTTGGATTCTAATTATTTACTCCCACAAAAGAATTGAAAATAAAAAATTGACATCTTGAATTATAATTACAATTCTTGGACTTTTATTTTTAGCAACCAAACACAAGATTGGAATTATAGAGCTCAAATTCCAATACTTGGTCTCAATTCAATGCAACCAAACAATGCCTTACAGTAATCTCATCTGAGTCTCTAAATATATTGGTTAAGTAAATTACTTTAATGAGGTTAAACGGAAAAAGAACAAAAAAATTTTAGTTTCGTCTGTACATAAGAAATTCTACAAATGGACACTCAACTTCCAAAAACCATTGGAGAATTTCCAAAAACAGTTGAATGCTCAAGCAGAACTTTCCAAAAACATCGGAGCATTTCCACAAACAATAGCTTTACAACGACTTCCTTTGCTTTGGCACTAATTTGATGAAATTAGTATGGTGCTTCCTGGCGAGTTGCCATTTTCAAGTAAGCTCTGAAACACAGGCTCTGCCGTATCATTTACGCCCGAAAGTGAAAATGGCTCTTCCTCCCGAATCCCATTATTGGCTGCAAATATTCTCGCTATATCCTTCCCGGTCAAGATCTCATACTCAAGTAACTCTTCGACAATTTTCTCCAGGACAATACGATTCCGTTGCAGCATAGCCTTCGCTTTATCGAATGCTAAATAATACATTTTCTCAACCTTAGCAGCCATTTCGTACTCAAAGTTGTTACCCATACTCAATACTGTCTCTGCATTGCCGTGGTGATAAATTGTAGGACTATCATCAGGTCCCCATCCATACTGGAGCACCATTCTTGTAGCTATCTCTTGAGCCTTCTGTAACTCCGATGAAGAAAGCAGATTTTCTTCTCCAAACGGTAAAAGCATCTGAGATGCTATGTAAGATCCAAAGCAAAATACCAGCCTCTTTTCAACATATGCCCTGGATTCAACATTCCCATTGAGGGAACCTTCATTTCTAGCTTTAGTGATCTTTGTGCAACCAATCCCCTCCCAAGCCAGTGGTTCAAGCCATAAATTATCAACAACATCAAAGTTTGGCAAAAGAAATGCAATGAGTCCACGACCAGATGCCCAAACAGCATGTGGCATCTTTGTCTCGTTTGTCCATTCAAGAGGGGGATTTAGTAGTTCTATGCCATTGCTTATCTGGCCATACGGTTCCATTAGGTCCACCACATTCTCTAAATCCTCCTTTGTCAACGTCAGTCCAAGATGATTCACCAGTAGCTTGCTTATTTTCTTCACCATTGTGGTTTTCCTCACCCAATTTGGGATGAGTTGACTGAACGAAGCGAACCAGCTACAGTAGCTCATAAGTTCATCAGTGTCGAGCAGCTTTCTTCTAAAAGCACCACCTTCCAGAGCCAAAGGAACAAGTTTTAGCTCTATTGGACGCAAAAGCGCTGTTTTCTCAGCTACCTTTCCCCAATCAACAAAATCAACGAGTTCCTCATCCATGGTTTCTTTGGCTGCTAACTGAAGTATCCTCTCCCTTTCTGCTTGTGTTGGACGTTGAAGACGAAATATCCTATCCATACGGCCAGGACGCTGTAATGCCTCATCAATTTGTTTCAAGTTCCGTGTTGTAGCCATCAAAACAACCCCTTCTTGTTTCTCAAACCCATCTAGCTCTACTAGAAGTTGATTGATAAAAGCCTCATGATCCTGCTTTTTGGTATGAATGAACTTCCCACGAACACCAGCAAAGAGGTCAAAATCTTCCACGAATATGATTACAGGAGCCTGGGCAAGAAAGAAACTCATGAAAATCAATTGTGGGTTCATTTCAAATAAAAAAACAAGTGATAGCACTACTATAGAGTACTTGTGATAAGAATACACATTGTCATTTAATCTATAACGCCACCAGAAGAATCAGATGTTTTAACTCAAAAGTATCTCTCATACAGGACTCAGACTGTTATGCCAGTCTACAATATCTACAACTATCGCGATTGTAAAATAGAATTAAGAATTCGGAGGTTTGAGTTATATTAAACTAATACTTAAAGCTCAGGATAGGCACTTTCTCAAAGTCCTGCAAGCTTTTCTAGACCAGTTTAAGAAGATAAAGAGCTGAACCTCGACCAATTTATCTTCATCTGATTTCAGCCTAAATATGCGCAAAAACTGGCTCCCTTTAAGCCCTATTAACAAGTACATTCAACATAAACTTCTATTTTGGCCGACAAGGAAAAACCACAGTACCGGTTTCAGTCTTTAAAAGAAACAGAATACTGGCCACAACTAGGAAAATATAAAGCATCCACACAGAAGACGTAACTCCCCTAACTTTGAGGTGGATCTGATCGCATTAAAGAGGTTTTCAACACCCATAAAGGCTGTAGGGTAAAAATCAAAGATGCACAGAGAAGGTCGACCAAGATCACAAAAGAAACACAAGTTTGGAAAAGTCCCCGTTGCTAGTTCATTTACCATTTTCAAAGATCAAAACAATAGGGACAAACTGCATTAATCCAGTTAATAAGATTAACATCTAAAAAGACCACAATAAGGGAAAATAAATATCATCCAGCTTTCATTTGCAAATGAATCTTCAAGCTAAAAACAAACAGAACTTTCTGTGACAAAAAAAACCTCACTTCTGTCCTGTTTGTTTCCGCAAAATTTGTGTTCTAGAATCTGGTTCTAGATTTGTTACTATTTCTTTTCTATGATGATACTTAAAGACAGAAATATTTTCTGTATTTTTGTATGTTAAAGCTCCGTACAATAGTCTAGCTATATAGAGATCCTACAAGATAAATATAGAAAGGATATTCCCATATCCCTAAGCTATAGCAGTGTTCAGCCTAGAAAACTAATTAAAAATCTCTAATTAATATTTCATTACATCTATTCTTAATTTACTGCACAATTATAGTGATTTCCACAATACTTTTCCCACGCAACCCGCAATAACTTAGATTTCTTCATGCTCCATCCAGAAATAAACAGTTTTTCTTTTGCTTCATAAACCGACTAATAATTTTAAGGCATAAACAAAAAGAAAGAAGAATCACCAGATCCCGTGCGGTTTGAAACAACTCTCTGACATTCGATGCACTTTGGCCAACCCATAGCCCTGCCTCCAACTGTTGGGCTTTGACTTCTACAACTGGCACCTTTGCTTCAGCAGCTATAGCCAGTGCTAGAGATGTTTTTCCAGTTCCCCTCTCTCCAACGATTAGGACACCCTGTAATGTAATAAGTTATACAGCTCAAATAAAGGTCATAAAGTAATTCAAAGTATTATGTAAGGCTAGTTTCAAATTTGCATCATCACGGGCTTGAAACCATAATAGTTGTACTAACATCAACATCAACATACCCAGTATATATACACAATGGACTAAAATTACTTAACAGAATTGGCCTACTGGATTTTGAAATCTATGCTTTAGTCAAATAAAATAGCTTTCCAGGAAGGCCAGCAGTCATGTGATGCAATTATAGACCACTAACAGCCAGAAACTATGAAGGAAATCAGAAGGGAGCCAAGGAGGAAAGGATTGTAAACGAACCAAATGCAATGTTTCAAATGTATACTGCAGGCAGTTTATGTCTCAAATTTTCTTTATATGGCAGAACTGCCTTCAATATCACAGATACATGAACATATTAACTTTGACAAAAGAGTACTTGATAATATTGAGATTTGATACTTTGAAACCAAGAAAGCAGAAAATGTTAAGTATCGCCTGAAGTGCCGGAAGAAATTAGGTGCCAACTGAATGCCAGCAAAATGCAATTCCATGTATCTGAATCATGGGTCCAAACTCCAAAGAAATAACAAATGCCCAAGAAAGAGAGTTACACTTCAAAAACCATATTAGAATTAGCAAGTTCCTTTCATTTATAAATTTCAAAAGAAAACTCTAGAAAATGAAAATTGCTTAATGATACATTTTTCTTTCCCTTCTAATAATACTTTTCTCGTGATACAACAGCTGAAAACAACAGCTGGAAGATTCATACATTGTGATTTATATGCAATGAAAACATGCACATATAATTGCAGACCTTTTTACAAGGATCTTATTATTATGAAAAATGTGATTAAGCAAAGAAATTTACTCTACTTGCTGAAAGCTTTAATAACTAATAACTCTTTAGACAGTTTTACTAGAAGGAAATTTCCAATCAACATTTTTACCGGTTGCTTGTTTTCTTATTAGACTGCAAACAGCCATTTCTTGAAAAAAAGAGAAGAATAACAAGACCAATATCCTTACAGTCACGCGCCAAAAAATTGTAAAGAAAAGGGGAGCACTAGATAATGTTGCTTAGCAGACACGATCACCTGTAGGAAAGCAGGTAGGCCTAACATTTTCAAGTTTCTAAACTCAGAGACAGGAAGGTATACCACGATATACACTGAAATAAAATGATAAATGGTTGCAACAGAGAATTACAGACTTGCTAACTGTACATGTGCAATTTTATGATATTAAAGTTAACTATTAAAGTCCAAGAAGTAAGCTTCTGCAACTTAAATTTTACTTATTTTGTCAAAAAAATAAGGATCCTGATGAAAAATGCAGAATATATTATGGGTTGAAAGTTATAACACATAAAATAGATTATTCCTCCACCTTCACTCTCTAATTAGGAACTAGACACGACCATGTTATCATTGATGAAAAAGAAAATAAAAATCACAAATACAAGATCTTTCAGGGCCAGGAAATCTCTAAACTACAAAATGATGACTCTTTTAATAATTATAATGTTTATAGACTTTGTGCAAATCAATCATAAACTTTCCTCAAAGTCAAAATCAGTTGGACAACTTTATTTTGTGCACCGACAAGTAGTGAATTTGGAGAGAAGGAAGGAAGGAAGAAGAAGGAGGAGAATGAGAGAAGAAGAACTAGAAAGAGAAGAAGGTTGAGAACATAGCTGATTTGTTGGCCTTGACGGTTGAAGTAGCACAGCAGACGCGAAGAATAAGAGGAAGAAGACGAAGAGGAGGAAGAGAGATGGCTGATTAGGGATTTAGGGTGATAGTTATCTTTTTTTTTCTTTTTTTTTTATAAAGAACCTGGCTAATACTTGAAGCGAGAGCCTCTTGCGCATCACACCTCAAGGGTGAGGAGAGGGCTTTTTGCGCATTCTACCCGCCTCACGTAATTGCATCACATCACCCTCCCTGATGCGATACCCTTGTCCCCTCACCTCGCCTCGCGCCTAGACGCGCTTTTTAAAACCAAGGACGGGATTCACTTTAGAATGGTTAATAGAGTATGGCTTTCTGAATATTCGGTACGATCTACAATACGATTTACCTTAAACCCTGACTTCTATGAAACTAAGACAACACATATGATCCTAATTTTAAAATGTTTAAAACAATTTGGAACTTGAAGATTCATGACCATTGAACTATCCTAGTGTCTTTCAAAAGGGCAGAAGATGAAAATGCAGGTCTACTATAAATACAAGGAAAAGACAACTGCATGTGATCCTTCTATGCTTAGGGAAAAAGAGGGACCAGGTAAAATAAAAAGAAAAAGAATTCTACGAAGGTAATAGAATCAACTATAGTTACACATTGGAGATTTTTAAAAATTATTTTTTTACACATTGAACTAGAGTTCCATCTCATATTTTGCCAAAAATTGGATTCAACATCTATGCTTGATTCTTGAAAATAATAATACAATAATGGGAATTTATATTGATATACACTTTAAAGAATCTTACATTGCCTAAAGTTTTACTTGCATCCAAAATCATAGATAGAAAGAGGTATAATACTTTTGCTACTTTCCTAATTCCTGAAACACTATGGATCTGACCACCTTTAATTCAATAAGAAACAACTTTTTAATATAACAAACTGCTCATCATAAAACATATAAAATCAACAAATTTCCTTCTAGCCTTAATGCTTGCATCATATAAGATCAACATAAAAAGAAAAGAACGAAAGAAAATGCCATATATTTTGACTGAAAGTGAAACTAGTTCGACCACATACACTTAGCATCAAGACTTTCATTCATCTCATAAAATCTTGTAATGGCTTAGAGAGAAATATTCAAATTTTGTGGTTTAGATAGTTTCAAGGGGAAGAAAACATAAATATTGACCCAAGATAAAACCACTAAGGTTTTGCAAATTTCCAATGATAGAGGAAACCTGATTATAATCACCTGGTAGACCAATAGGTTAGTTATATCTTCTGAAATTATAACTAATTAGGGTGGGAGAATTGGATGAGATGCTAAGGGCGGAAGGGTTGTAGGTACGAGGATCCAGGTTTGTCCCACATGGGGGGCCATCCCCTAAGAGAATAAGAAAACACTTAGCGTTGCCTTTCCGCATTTGGTATGAATTATTTATTTAATGCGAGTAAGCTATATCTCATATGAATGAATATAGGATTACTACATGGTAAGAATAATTTATAACCACAATTAGTTGGAATATCATAGTATACTTCAGCTAACAGATAACTTTTCCCCTAATGAGTCCAAATGCAGTAAGCCAAATATGAGAACCAAAGCATAAGTGAGATCTCCACTCCCTCGCTTAAAATGCCTGGACAGCAAATGCAGCCTTGGGGATCAAGACAAGTATGGCAAAATGTACATCTCATTATGATGCAAGTTATTGGGCCATGTCAAAACTTAGATCTAAAATAATGGCATGGAACCTGACTATAGACAAGGCAAAGATTTCACAGAGACTAATAGCAACAGCATATATTCCAATATAAACATTTAATAAACTTTTATCTATGAAACAAGTCCCTCCTATCTACAGCAACAAGAGCTCAAATATCAACCCCAGTGTTACAGATACCTGTTAAAACTGTCCATTAAAACTAGTTTACCACGGATTTTCCATTATTATTTTTGTAAGAAGATGCAACTAGTTGCAGCATCTATTGATTACGTAAAACAAACTGCTCTCGATTTAGAAACTCTACATCTGAATTCACCAAACATACAAGATAATAGATGTCTCATCTTATAAAGAGTAACAAATGTCTATAATCAATTGATATTTCAAGCTGTCATTTGCAGGATATTACTGGGAAAAGAGTTATGTATTTCACCAAAAAACTAAAAGAACGAACATACCCGTGGGGCACGAGCTCCCATTTCTTGAAATGCACGAGGATTTTGAAGGAATGAAACAACTTCATTAATTTCTTCTCTCATAGACTCAACACTAGCAAAGTCCTTCAACCGTATAGGTGGGTTCTTGACCCTCTGAAGTAACCATAAAATAAACCTTTTTTTACAAATAAATTTAGACACATAATGAAGAATGAAAACCAAAAAAGAGTCTTAATATACAAATAATAGTTCAAAAACATTTTACAACCTTCATCCCGTCAAAAGCTGTACTGATTGGATCAACACCATCCCTTTTCTTTTGCTTTATGCTCCTGATCTTAGCCTTGATGTAAGTTTTCTGCAGCAGACAAAAGATTTAGGCTATGTAATTAGGATTTGAAGAACAAATCATTAAATATTGTTAACCAAGCGTCATGAAGAGAGGTTCACTTCCAACTAGTCTACATAATAGATTACCATGAGAGAGTTGTTATTTGCTTGACATGACTCAAATCACAATTACCATGACACTCCTGTCGCAAGGGCAGCTTACTTCATTTCTCTTCAAAAGTGTATGTTATCACCCAATGAACTCACCTCAACTCAACTTATAATAACTAAATAGAATATTCTCCCAGTAGATAATGAGTTCATCTACATGTGCAGTAAGGCCAGCCGCAAACATAATTCAGTAACAAAAAACTAGTAATCCAGCCAGCTGTTAATTTATCTCATCATACTATTAATGTGTGCCTAAGACCCTCCATAAGACACAAGTTTCTCAAAATCCCAATAAAGTAATAATACAAGTGGAAAGCAAACAAAAAAGCATGAGAAAAATAAGAAGACAGAGGCATCCAGACTAGCTTACAAGTGAGGAAAACCCGGCAAGACCTGAGTTAAAAGGGTAAGTAATGAACCCTATAGTTAGAGGTGTGGAAAGATTGAGTTTATAAAAATAATTTCAAAAAAGGGGCAGAAATAACAGAAAGAAAATGAAAAAAACACTACCTTTGGAAGTGGTACAGTTAAACTGAGCACAAAATTCGGTGTTGCAGACTATACTTGTGCCTGTATATAGCATACATTCAAGTACATGCAAATCACGGCATTCTAATTTCCGCTTCTAAAAACACACATAAATAGATATATAAATAAAAAAAATCCAAAAAAACCCTCATCAACTTCTAGTCAACAACCTTCATATTACCACTTCAATGTGAAGAATCAGCAACAACTCACCGACAAGACACATTTGACACAGAAATGTGTCGTTAGCTCTTTTCCTAATTTTTCAGTCCTGTTTCTCAGTAGTGTACAAGGAAGATATCTAACCACTCAAAGCTTAGTCTTGAAGTTTACACAATCAAAATTTACAAGACAAAGAAAAGTGGTTTCCAGGACTAACAGGGTGAAAAATGCCACGAACAAAGAGATTGGGTACAAACGGCAAACAGGCAAAAAGAAAAGAGTAAAAACTAGTGCAAAGAATACGGGCTTACCACTCTCTGTAACTTTTTTAAGTTTGGATCTCTCCTTAGAGGCCCAAAACCAAGAAGTCCAGGAACATTCCTCCGCATGAATCGAAATACATGATAGCAAATGAATCCATACACCACAGATCTAATTAGAAACCAAAGATACCACTCCAGTTCATCCGTTTTTCCTGATCTAAAGCTCATTTCAGCCTCAGACTGCCATTTCAAATACCAAGTTGAAGCAACAGATTGGTCAACATACTCTGGCCAAGCCATGCCCAATCTCATCCTAATCTACAAGAAAGGGGAAAGAAAAGTGAGACCCTATTTTAAACGAGTTTCCAAAAATTAAATGAATATGCCAACAGTAGCACAGCGAATGCTAAGAAACCAGAATTTCTAATTGTCAGAATGTAAATCTTAATTTAGTACGTACCGAGTAAGGAATGATAAATTCCACAAGGGGAAACCCAATCATCATCATTAGGTCATCATTTATTTGTCTAAAGTTCTTTACTGTCCAGTCTTTTGCACGTGAGACAAGATTAGTGTTCCATAATGCATGCAAACACTGGTAAGAAAGTCTTGTTACTACAAGAAATTGTTGATGAAAATCCAATTCTGAAAAAGGAATCCACATAAGTTGAACAACAGTTGGAATATCAGAGGCGAGCATTCTCATATAGAGCTCGTCAAACCCTCCAAAGTCCTCAAACAGCAGGTCATATTCCTGCAAGTAAATAAAAAAGAATAAATAACTAAGATGGAAAAGCTAAAACTCACATGGAAAGTGTTCCTTAAGGTTCTAATTAGTTAAAGCTTGCTTAGAGAATGCAATCTATCTGCCCGGAACTAAACTACCTTAATATCAACATAATATTCTCTTTCATCCCCCTTCAGCAGAACATGAAGAGCACCCCAATCATGCCTTATCCGAGCACTCCGAACAAGTTTTTTGGACACAGCATAAGGAAGAGCAATAGGGTCCATCTCCCACCTCTTTTTTTCGTCATTACGCCAAGTTCTTGAAGTAACTCTGTCTCGAGCCAAAAGAATGCGTCCCTAAATCAAAACAAGTAATGATTCAACATCAACATCATCAAGAACAACAACAACATACCCAGTATATTACCAACTAAGTTGGGAAAACAAGTATTGACTCGTGGGAAAAAAAAAATCACTTATAGTCGGAATAATGTATATGAAAGGGTTGTTTATCATTCCATTCATTTTGACTATAAAGCAAGCAAAAACTGGATTACTGTCACATGGCCCTACACAGCGGAGACACCAAAAGAATGACTAGTTGCTTCCATTATTTCAAGATAAATAATCCTCTTTCCATCTTCTGCAGGGCCTAAAGAAAACTGACTTCTCATAAGAATGTAAGTGATGCCATATCTCCCTCTGGCCAAGCTGAAGGTTATCCTACTTACTAGTGTTGCAAACAACACAACCTTCCCACCACGTTTGCTCTCTACAAAACATTTCTTCACAACTGAAAGAGGTGAGAATTTCAACATAAATTCTTCAGAATTCGGATGTCTAATTACGATTCTTTCAACAACAAACTCAATGCTCGTAACATTGTAAAAATTATCGTCAATAGCGTACTCCAGTTATAAGATAAAATATAAGATAAAAAGATTTGCTACAAAAACAATTGATTTGTTTTTGTCAATTCACACATGTCTACAAAATTTTGAAATTTTCAGGATTTGGAGGATAAACTTAATGACAGAAGTGGAGGATTCCATATGTCTATCACAGCTATGCAGGAGTTCGAGGAAGGTAAAACAGAAACCATACTCCAATAAAAATCATGAAATATTCAAAAACTTTGTTATAAAAGAAACTGAACTCAAATGAAGAGCAAATTTCAAACACCCAAAAACTTTTGTTTTCCTTTATTTAAGTGTTTACTATTGAGGCATATGAGCTAATGGCTAGTACCCATTGGAAAGAGCATATGTGAGTATGTTACTTTTGGGAGAAAATTTAAAGAGTAATTCTCCTTTCTGAATCCTGCTGATTGTCTGCAGACCAATACAATGCAAAACTAAACTTTCAGGGAGCATGATGAAGCTAAACCACAACTGCAAGCAGGGTATTACTGTCAGCAGAAAAGTAGCAGAATGAAAAGAATCTAACTCCATGAATTACTTTGGCAAGTCAAAGGATAATGTAAGACGCATCTATTTCTATAAAAAATAAAGCATGAGTAATGAAGAAGGAACAGCTACTGGACTTTTGCTTGAACACAATAATACCGAAAATTCTGACAAGGACGTTGGTACATATTGGGCTACAAGCACCATCTGAGTCACTCTATCAGGATTATTACCTGTCTTTCAGCCACATACTTTTTACCAACTTCAGCCTTTTCCAATAAGTCTTGTTTTAAATTGGCTTTTGCTTCCTCGCGCCATTTCTTCCAACCATGAAACAAATGGATGCTTACAGCTTTTGGAACTACAACCTCTCTGTTTCCAAACATCCACTTCAACTCAATCTCAGGAAAACCTTTAACCACTTCATTCAATGGCGTGGTTACCACAAAGCGCTTTTCCTCACCATACTTCTTCATATTTTTTCTAGCACGGTTCTCAAGATCCTGCTGCAGATTTTTCGAACTTGCAATTGACTGCTTAAGGCGTTGGGCAAATCCAAATGACTGCGCATCAACCCCATGTTCAAGATCCTCATTTTCCAGAATATTAGTTAAGGCAATCTGCTCACGTAATTGTCTTTCAGCACTTTGCAGTTCTCTCTTTATCTCAGACCTAGAGAGGTGGGTTGGAGGGCTTTTCTGCACTCTGCAGAGCATAATAACAAACTGCAGTAAGCAAAACTTTTCAGAAAGGAGATTCTCAGAAGCAAGTAACAGGTGCAATTTAGCAACCTAGCTTTGCACGATTATGCAGGAAATGGGCCGAAAAAAGGTTCTCCCAGAGTTAAATGAATCATTTTTACGTAAAAAAAAAATGAATAATATGATCCCAAAATAGATCATAAAAGTAATTTTCTATCATTAAGAATAACATTAAAGAGAGTTTATGCGTGCAACATAGATCAATACATAAACAATCAATTTACGAACAATTACAAATTCTTGCATATCATGCATGGTTGGCACACTGCATTTTGACAAAATAATATTGCATAAGTTCAATAAATCGTCCTCTTTTTTCTAGTTTCAAACTTTCTAATCCAAAGAACACTGAAGGTTTCACAGTCAAAACCACAATGCCACTAAGGTTCCAAGAAGATCTTATATTCTTCAAAGTCTCCCCTTTTTTAAAATTCTTCTTCAAAGTCTCCTATGCATACCAACATTTGCAAACTCAAGATTACAATAGCTAGAACTGACTCAAAATATAACAAGCTGTGAACAACCGAGCAACATAATACTAAATAAACAAGAAAAAAAAAATGTCACCTTTGTCTATTGCTCTGCCTCACTTCCTTTAAAAACCCTTCAACCAGCTGCTCACACTCCCTCTCAATGAAGGAAAGCTCCCTCACACCAATGCTCAATGCCAATGTCTCCTTCTTGGAAATGTGATCATCAATTTCTCCGATCCTTTCCCATATGTCATTATAGTCTCTCTCGGCATTTATCATGTTTTCCTCTAACTTTGCAATCTTATCCTTTACTCCTTCTCCACGAACACCACTTCCAACCTTCTTCTTCAATCTCTCTTGCTCTCTCTGTTCTCTTGAGACTCCTTCAAGAATTTCCTCAGAACGTTTCATCAAAACCCATCTTTCCCCTCTCAGCACTCTTGATTCCGCATACAATCTCTCCATTATCTCATTTTGCAACTCAGTTTTCTTATTTTTAACCTCTTTCAATGCAGCCTCAACACCAGTGATAGCATTGTCACCCTTTCTCACCTCCTCTATTGTCTTAAGCAATCCCGAAACAACTTCCAACAATCTCTCCGTACAATGGGAATACAGATGACCACTATTGTTCAATCCCTGTTGTTTTCTACTGCTTTTCTTACTGCCCCTAAAAACCTCACTCAGAACACCAGTGGCAGCCATTGCAGGAGGCAACGAAAATCGCCCCACCGGAATAGAAAACGCCCAAAACACAGAAACAACTGTAAAGATAAACACCTTCGCGATATGACTAGGAAAATCATCGCCGCCATTTCTGCCGCAAGAAACCAAGCTCTCTAACGGATGGTTTTCCTTCTCTTCCACCTTAGATGGAACCTCAATTTGTTTCCTTCGAATAGAACCAAGAAATCCATCACTAGCTGCTGCACTGAAACAAAACCTAAAGGGTCTTAACGGCGCTCTTGGGATAGAAGCTTTGATTGAGCATTTCCTTTTGCGGAATTTGGCATAACATTTGTTGGTTTTGGTTGAATCAAGAAATGGGCTTTGAGGTACGAAAATGGTGGACTTTGTAGAGCTCAAAGTGGTCAACATCTTCACTATCGTTTCAATTGCTGCTGAGGAGTAACATTTTCGAGGGTTTTGGGAATCAATGGAGGAAATTCTTGGAAGGGCAGGTGTAAATTTCCGTTGAAGAATGAGAAGGAAAGATAAGGCAGCTATTCTGGAACGAGGTTTTTAGTTTAGCGGAAGAACCCCGACCTCGTCAGCGCCAAAACCCCTCCTCCAAATTCGTGTCGTTGTTTCCCATATTTATTTTCAGTTTATGGTTATACTTTCTAAAATCCTTTTAAAATTGTTGTGACAAAATGTTTGTACATATAAATCCTACTCCTACTTAAAAGTAAAAAAGAAAGAAAAGAAATTGAAATGTTTGTTAAATGCAATAGTAGGTGACAAAATGTAGCATCATGATTTTGAATACAATATGAATATTAATACACATTTCCTCTCATTTCAATAATTCATTTTATTAGTGATAGTATCGACAGTGATATGACAGTAGTTCATTGTGCACTTAATTAATTAACAACATGCTGCAAAAACTCGCAAAGGGCATGAGTTAGCAATGGTAACGGAAAGACCAAGGCAGAGATAACAACTGTTAATGTGAAGACCATGAATGGCAATAATCTTTAATATGTTGTCGTGTCGATAAAAAGTTACTAATTGATGTCTCCAAAATCAGCCATAAAAGATTGAATTCAAAGAAAATACTAATGTAATGATGATATATCCTTCTTCGAGTCGGGACTAGAACTTGAGAATTAAAAAAGGAAAAAATATTTAAACAAATTAAAACTTTCATTGATTTCTTATTCTTCATTTGAAATAAAATTACAAAATATAATTAGACTTCTTAACCCTCTAAAATAAGAAAGCATAAATTCAATGAAACTTTCCACTAATCCACTTTTAAACGTAAAAGATAAAATAATAGCAACTACTAATAAAAATAAATAAACAAGGCAATTAAACTAAAGTAAACTTAGGCTCTATTTGTTTGCTTTTTTAGTGTGTATTTTTAGTTTTTTTTTTAGAATGTAAAAAGGTATGCAGGAATTGGACAGTTACTAATATTTAAGTATGAAAACGTAGTAGAAATGTAAACAAACAGAGCCTTAATCTATCTATCTCCTCTTCTCTTCAGTGTTGTTAAACTCCGCTCGGACTGATCGGTTGAACCGGGTTAACTGAGAACCGAAGCTCAAGCCAAGCCAAGCAGGTGATAAAATCACCTAAATAGGACTCAGTCAAAATCGGTCAAGATTCCGGTTAAATCGGAAATCGGCCTAACCTAGGTCGAATCGGGCTTTGACTTTTGAGCTCAGTTTCTAAATTTTAAAATTTTTTTTGCACTACTTTAGAGTTTTATTGAAGCTGATTTTTCACTTTTAGTCGTCAACTAGATTCGTTACACTTTTAATGACCCCCTAACTTTTATAATTATAAGTTTAAACTCTTAATTTTAAATTTATAAATCTAAATTTTTGGATTAATCATTCATCCCACATCATACATATCGAATTGAGTTATAATCATTATTTAGAACAAAAATTAAATATTTATACCTCAAGCAATATTGATCATTTTAAACTAATGTAAAGAAAAATTATAACCAAATATATTTTTTAAATATGCAATATAATTTTTTAATTGATAAAAGTCAATAATGTATCAAATTTATTTATTTTTTTAATTATAATAAGAGTTAATATAAACTAATAATTTAGCTAATGTTATAATTTTGTTTTATCAAAACCCATTTGAAAGTTATGAAGCACTAATATGATTTTAACAATAAACAAATGTATATAAAATTTATAAAATTTTACTAAAATATATATTTTTATTTATTAACATTTATTACGTCATCATGACGTCATCCAAGTCGACTCCCCGAATTATCCCGAGTCGACCCCCGATTCGCTCGACTCCCTTGTCCGTGTCGAGTCGAGCTCCGATCCGAGCCTGACAACACTGCTTCTCTTCTTTTCTCTTCTTCTTCCCTTCTCTTTTCTTCTTCTTCTCTTCTCTTCTCTCTTCTCTTCTCTTCTTCTCTTCTTCTTCTTCTCTATAATATAATTGCAGAATAATTTCGAACCTTTTGACATTCTTTTACTTTAACACACATTATTTAAATTAATTTTTATGATTATAACTATTCCATCTCCTTCATTTACCTTTACTTTAATCCTCGCACAATATTTAAATTTAATTTTATTTTTAAAATTCCTTTATCTCATTTACTTACTTTTTGATCTTCTAACATCTGGCCGGATTTTCCATCAAAATCGATAAAATATTTCAGTTTCTCCAACCTTTATATATATGAGTCTTGTTTAAACTATCGCATCATCGGTGATCAAATATCAGTGCAATTTCAAGGCAGACAACAACTCTTTAATTGTGAAAATCTCATATTGGAATTAATAGTCTTTCATAATTTTTCTAAGAATCTATAAGGTTTGAAGATTTTGTGTGTGTTTTTATGACAATAATTTGTTATTTATTATCAAACAACATAATGAACTTTTGATCTCTCTTCCATTGATTTTTATTTCTAAAATTTTGTAAAAATATTATTTCTCATTATTAGGTGAATTTGATCAGTCTAAAAAATAATTTCAGTGATTCTGACAATTAATTCTTATTTTAAATCACAAAAAATCATTCATCATTATTAAGTGAATTTAATCAGTCTAAAAATAGTTTTGGTGATTCTATCGGTTTTAATGTTTAATGGGCAAATTATCCAATATACCCGGGGGCATCGTGCTCCCCCTCCTATTTTTTGTATTTTTAGCCCTTATTGTACTTTTTTCTCAATCTTTCTATATTTTACACATTTAGTCCCTGTGATTTTTTTTCTCTCTCTTCCAAAAAAAACATCCCTAATCTATAAACGAGAAAATCTCCCAATCCGTGAAGAATTTGTGAACGAATTATATATGAAATTTATAGTACTCATCGAGATCTATCCAACAAAATCCATAGTGAATATTTTTTCGGGTTTAAAAATGACTTAATTCTGATGGACAGAATAGGGGTGGATATCCAGTTTTACAAGATGGATAACCAACTTGTTCTAAATTGGTTATCCATCATGTTCATGCTGATTATCCAATCGGTTTGAACTGGTTATCCATTTTGTTTCTACTGCTTATCCATTTGGTTATCCAACTTCTTAATTCAAAATAAGTTGGTTATCCATCTTCTTAAATTGGATATCCAATGTGTTCATATTGATTATCCAATTCGCTAATACTGGTTATCCAATGGACTTACATGCTTATCCAAATTATTTGTACTGGTTATCCACTGTGTTCATGCTGATTATCCAACTTGTTTGTACTGGATATCCATCCATTTGGTTTGTATGCATATCTAACTCTAATCTTTCAACGAGCATATCTCCCAATCTGTGAAAAATTTGTGAACGAATTATATATGAAATTTATAGTACTCGTCGAGATCTATCCAACGAAATCCACAGTGAACATTTTTTCGGGCTTAAAAATGACTTAATTCTGACGGGCAGAATAGAGGTGGTTATCCATCTTTTTTTTTTTTGAAGAGTGAATGTCAAACATATGATTGGATAACAAGTACGAACAGAATGGATAATCACTCCAAACCGGTTGGATAATCAGCATGAACACAACGGATAACTATTTTTCAAAGAAAAACAAAAAACACATTTTTTCATTTTCTGCCCGTAAAATTTAAGTGCATTTAAATTTCAAAAAAAATATTCAACATTGATCTTATCGGATAGATTTCGTCGAGCACTATAAATTTCATATATAATTCGTGTTATAATTCTTTACGAATCAAAAGATACAAGGAACACAACGATATGCATATAAAATAAGTTGGTTATCCATCTTCTTAAACTGGTTATCCACTGTGTTCAAGTTGGTTATCCAACTTATTTGTACTGGATATCCATCCATTTGGTTTATATGCATATCTAACTCTAATCTTTCAACGAGTATATCTCCCAATCCGTGAAGAATTTGTGAACAAATTATATATGAAATTTATAGTACTCGTCGAGATCTACCCAACGAAATCCACAGTGAACATTTTTTCGGGCTTAAAAATAACTTAATTCTGACGGGCAGAATAGAATAGAGGTGGATATCCATCTTTTTTTTTTTGAAGAGTGAATGTTAAACATATGATTGGATAACAAGTACGAACATAATGGATAATCACTCCAAAACGGTTGAATAACCATTTTTCAAAAAAAAACGAAAAACACATTTCTTCATTTTCTGCCCGTAAAATTTAAATGCATTTAAAGTTAAAAAAAAATTCAACATGGATCTTATCGGATAGATCTCGTCGAGTACTATAAATTTCATATATAATTCGTGTTATAATTCTTTACGAATCATTAGATACAAGGAAAAGAATAATATGAATGTAAAATAAGTTGGTTATCCATCTTTTTAAACTGGATATCCAATCTGTTCATACTGGTTATCCAACTTGTTTGTATTGGATATCCATCCATTTGGTTTGTATGCATATCCAACTTTAATCTTTCAACGAGCATATCTCTCAATCCGTGAAAAATTTGTGAACCAATTATATATGAAATTGATAGTACTCGTCGAGATCTATCCAACGAAATCCACAGTGAACATTTTTTCGGACTTAAAAATGACTTAATTCTGATGGGCAGATTATCCAACTAATTAGTATTATTTATCCAACCTGGTTTTTGTTTTTATTATTTTTTAAGTTGGTTATCCAACTCGTTTGTATTGGTTATCCAATCATTGGTTTGTATTGGATTATCCAATGCGCTAATGCTGGTTATCCAATGGATTTACATGGTTATCCAAATTGTTTGAACTAGTTATCCACTTTGTTCATACTGGTTATCCAACTCGTGCATATTGGTTATCCAACTTACTGGATATCCAACTTATTCTGTCCAATCAAAATTTAGTCATTTTTAAACTCAAAAAAAAATATTCGAAATGGATCTTGTTGAATAGATCTCGACGAGTACTATAATTTTCATGTATAATTCGTTCACAAATTCTTCACGGATTGGGAGATATGCTCGTTGAAAGATTAGAGCTGTTTTTTTTTGGAAGAGAAGGAAAAAAGTCACAGGGACTAAAATTGTAAAATATTGAAAGATTGATAAAAAGGTACAATAAGGATTACTCGTGCAAAAAATAGGAAGGGGCACGGTGCCCCCCGTATACTGGATACAGCCTCGGTTAATGTCTCTTTATTAAATTTAATATGTTTATTCACGATAGTTTCGGAGATTATTACTGAAGTAAATATGTATGCAAACTTTCATGTACGCTGTAGACAAAATTGCCATCAGTAAATAAAAGAAATTTGTAGTGAGTTTTCTCCATTGAAAAAAAAAGGGAAATTAGAAAATGCACATTTAAAAGCAAAAGAAATTTGTAGTGAGTTTTTTCCATTGAAGAAAAATTTTGAACCGGCGGTGGCGGCTCTGCCTTTCTCCCTTCCCCCGCTTGCAGATCAGAGCCTTCGCCATGGCTTCTTCGGTTTCTCGCAGGCTGACTTCTTCCAAAGTACGCAAATCCCCAATTGTAGCTTTATTCTTTTCGTCGTCTGCCTCTCCAAAACCTCAACTCTTGAACCCTCCTAAATCCCTAAACCCAATTGCCGTTTACCCTCAATCCGAACGATCAAGTTTTTCCATCCCTTGTTTCAATTGCTTCAATCCATCTTCCGAGAAACAGTTTCCGGTTGAATACCATCCAATTGATCCCAAAAACAAAGTTCCTGGTGAAAATCTATTGTATTTTCTCGGAAAAGGGCCTTTGACGAAGTCTTTTGATAGAAATGGTGTTTCTGGTTCTTCCTTTCTTAAACCCTTGAATTCATCTAATCGGGGATTTTGGAATTCTAGCTTGTCCCGTCAACATTTTGTACGGAATTTGGCCCATTTACATCCCAGGCACTTTTCAAACTCCAAGGAATCAACAGGGCCGGGAAACCCACAAAATCAAACCGAGTACCCGAGCCGGAATCCTGAGTTTAAGCACCAAGAGATCACTGGTCCAACCGTGGAGCGGGATGTTTCTGCATTGGCTAACGAGACTCGTGAAGTTCTTGAAACCATGATGAAGAAGATGTATTCTTTAAGCAAAGCGTTGGCTGCTGTTGGGTTAATTAACCTTGGTTTAGGTGCTTGGATTTTGCATATTACTAAGGCTGCTCCAATCCTTGAGGTATCAATGCAGAGTATATTGGCATTTGGGCTTCCATTTTCGTTGGCATTTATGTTGAGGAGAGCATTGAAGCCAATGTACTTCTTTAAAAAAATGGAGGAACAGAGCAGGCTGCAGATTTTGACTCTTACACTTCAGGTTACTAAGCAGTTGAGCGTCCTCTTCACTAGGGTTCAGGCTGTTTCTTACTTGTGTATTGCTGGTGCATCTGCTGGGTTGATATATGCTGTTTTGCTTAGATAGTTTGTTCTAAGGATTTCCGCAGGAACTGCTATAGAACTTGATCAATAGGAATCTATGAGGGATGGGTTTTTGCCGGTTTAAAATGCCTTTTTGAATAGATTGCTATATTTCGAATTCCCTTATTTGTTTGCCGGAGATATCATTTGTATTGGACATTTGTTTCCCGAAATGTCATGAATATCAATGGATCAGAGGTGAAAGTTTCTTGTGAAATTGAACGGTAAACTTTGGGACATAGACCTTCATTGTTGTACTGGTAGCGGTTTAATTTACTGAATAATTTTTCCGACATTAGGGAGCTTGGGAAATAGACTTCATTGTTATACTGGCAGCGGTTTACTGAATAATTTTTTCGACATTAGGGAGCTTGGATGCTAAGATGTGATTGCGGACTCTGTTTGTGTTGCATAATAATACGTTGTTTGAGAATGATTTGCTACGGTTAACATATTGCTCTCGGCTTTTAAGGTTTGTTTATTTGGTTGCCGTTAATGTGATGCCTTCAATTTTCTGCGCATTTCCTGAATTCCTATCTCTAACCCTGAGTAACCAGCGATAGAACATGTTAAAATCATTGAATCTTGTTCTGTTCTGTCTCCTGTCAGATTTAATTGTTGCGCAAAGTGGATTCTGTGATCACTTTTCTACAGACTTCCAAGGAATGAATGTTGGACTTCTGTATTAATTTACCTCTCCAATCCAAATTTTCTACTTTTGGTTTTTTGTTTGCGTCCCGCTGTAGTGCGTGTTTTCTCCATATTTCTGGCAGCCAATTAAGTAAAACGATTTTCTGGGCAAAAGGGTATGGAGGTATGCAATTCACGCTTTATACCTCGATATTCTTGCTCGAGCCAAGATAAGATTTGCGGTTAAAACCTCAAAAATGAACTTTCACAAGTTCAATGATCAATGATTTGAAAGGAGTTGGCATTTTTTTGCCTTTGCTCTTCTTCAAGTAGGATTTCTGCTTTTGTACATGAAGTCACATTACAGGAACTGACTTGATTTGGAGCGAAAGTGTTCCATCTATAAATATAGTATATTTCCAACTATCAGCCCATGTAAAATGTTGGAAACTCTACCCTGCTTTATGCATGATCATTGTATCTTCATGCTACACCTAACACATTTCGAAACTTCAATTCTAAGAAGAAAACATTTAACATCATTAAAGGCATTATACCGTCGACTTGCATACATATATCAAGGAAATCTTGAGTAAAACAAAGAATGAAGTACCAGCCGAAGCTACAAGAGAGGTGTAAACGAGGACGTAATCACAATTATAAAGATATCTAAAAGAAGTTGCTTTGATCGAAAGCAAATATGCTTAGACTGTATTAATTCTTTAAAAAACGAGATACAATATTTTACACGAACAGAATATTAATGGAGGAGAGTAGCTGAGCCAGTTTTTCTTGCTATAATTTCCTTATGTTACAGGTTTGCCACATATATACCCGATTATTTCAGTCATATCGAAGCATCAAGATATTCTTCACTGATTTGTCTAATCACATTTCGTGGTGAAGGGGTTCCTGCAACGACATCTTGTTCGATACCACATTCATTTGTTCCTCGCCTGATCTTGAAGTATCCATCCTGCCAAAGAAAAGGGCATTAAAATCAAAGATGACCATATTATGGCAGAGAAAAGTGAGAGATAGGGTGAGAAAATAGAAAAAGGAATCAGAGAGCTTACATCACCCCAACCTCGATTCCATTGGTTTGCTAGTAACTGCAGCAAAAACAGTAGTTGTTTTAGATGTTAAAAGTTTACTAGAAAGTGTACAGTACTCAATCAGAAATACCCAAATTTACCCAGTAATCCTGCCCTTCGCTGGTGGTTCCCCATCCAATCAGCTTTACAGCATGACCGCCCATGACGTCGCCTGTTGTGTGCTTGTATACTCCAGACTTATAATGTGCAAAGTCCTGTTTTGAGCAGATAACAAATTAGAGTAATGGATTCCTGCTAACAAATTCAATAAAAGGCACAGTACTATATTTCGTGAAAATAAGTTTCATAAGATCAGAGTTACCAATATGCATCTTCATAGAATGAGGTCACATCACAATTATTTGACTTGTCCAAGGTAATATCTAGGATGAGGTCAATTTAAAATTGAGTAGCGGCTCCAAGAATCTTGGTTATCACCAGAAACTAAAATTAAAGTTGGGACGTCACTACACCACATTACACTATTACAGGTAGAATTCAGAATCACTACACTTTTCACATTTCACAGCTTGCACAGGAGAGATCCCCCAGTATGTATTATGCATTCCTTAATAGTGTTCTTGAAATGACAATTTAAACATTTTCATCAAGAATGAAAATAGCATTCCTTAAGGTTAAAGTCAAGATGGCATGCTAAAAAACTTTCTTTTTTGCAAATGGTTATCAAATGCACTAAACAGGAAAGTGACTACTCTCTTGAGCCACAGCTATTTGCTTCCATGCTAATCGACTATATAAAGGCAATGCCAATTACTTTTGAATGACAAAATTTTGCAAACTTCTTTTAATCTTACATTTGAAAGTCATTATAAATCATACCTCATAGACAGTGAAAGCGACCTCTACAGGGCCGTTAGTATAAACTTCAGCCATGATACTGTTTGGATCAGAACTGATTCGGTAGGCTTTGACGCCATAATGCTTTGAGTTTCTCCACAGCAAGTTCTCTTTTACGCACTTCCGGATGCACTTGGGAGTGGGATACGCAGGTTCACAACCTGGGTGGGAACATCCAGTATCATCAAAGTAGGGGTCACACTGCAAAAGACAATTTCAATTTTTAGCATAAAATCACAAGATGTTAAGCATCACTGCAAGAGAAAACTATCTACCTCATCAGTCACAACGCCGTGGTGTACAAAATATCTCCATGCTGCAAGAGGATAGCCGCCATCACAGCCATCCCCACACATAAACCCACAGCATGCAAGGAGATCATTGACAGAGAGTGAAATATTCTGCAAGTCATTACGATGAGATTCTCTTCATATGTATAGAGTCTGAAATGTAAGTAATTATACTTGGGGAAGAAAATTACCATGCCAAACTGGATACAGAAACGATCTGAGAGTGATTCAACAGCTCCAAAAGCCCAACAAGAACCACAATGTCCCTGATAACATTAAAAAATCAGACCAAATTACAATAGGACTGAGTTAAGTCCTCTTTGTTATATTCAAAAGTAGGTAATGTTTGAAAACTCAAGTCACCTGATCTTTAGGATGTGAAGTCATTTTGATTGGTTGCATTCACATAGAAAAATGATGGCAGTTAGCAACCTTTTAATATATTTGATAAGCAAGAAAGAAATCAGACATAAATCATGACTGACCAAGAATTCTTCCAATGGTAGCACATTGAGGCCAAGCAGTGCGTGCATCAAAATGGGTAGGCAACTTCAGATGAGGAGGATGAGTGATAACTGGTGTGCTTTCCAAAATACTCTTTGGTGTAGGCTTTAATCCAAGAAGATGCTTAAATTGGCCAACCTGCCACAAAAAGAAAAAAAGTCAAACGGGCTTGCTCTTTGTATACATGGAATACGGTTTTTGGAATATGGTCTATATTCAATATCTAGTAGAAAAGGAAAATCAGGCAAGACTTATATGGGCTGACAGGATACTTACTGTATAATTCAAAAATCGAGGACTCATATCAGCTTTCCATCCAGCAGTGGCATCACTATTTACTCTTTCAACGATGGATTTCTGAATATTCAATTCACAAAAGAAGATTCTAATAAGTTACAGCCAATTAAACCCCACGAACATGTGAAAAGGAGGTAGGTTGATGTTTAAAGAGCAGGAATACCTGAAGAACCTTGGAATCATGTTTGAAAAATTGCTGAGTGGATGCTCCTGCTTTGACCTGCTCACCAGAGAGAGTTCCCAAATTACACCACGTAAATTGGACTTCACAAAGAAAGACGACAAAGTACAATTTTGCTTCATCCAACTATAAAAAATTTGTCCAAATACAGAATGACTCCTTTAATTCAGTAGGCTATGGTAAGGCAAATGTTGTGTTAGAAACTTCTCGAAGATGTTCCTCCCAATTAGATTTATTAGCCGTAAGATAATAGGTATTAGCCTCTAGGCTTGCAGAAACAAGAAAACCTCATAACCGTGCTTTAAGTTTCTAATTGAAGAAGCAATCCCTACATTTTAAAGGGTTAGCCAGCTAAAATTATGAGAAGCACGTACAATAGGGGAAAAGAATACATGCCAAGCAATCATATCTATCAACATTCAGTGAGCCATTGCCTAAGTCTACATTAACTCGCAAGGACTGAAAGAGATTAAAATTTAAACTTAAGAAAAAAAAAATAGGAAAACAATGGCAAGATTGTACAGTAAAATATTGCACCAACCTGCAGCTGACAAATTAGCATCATACTGAATAGCAGCAGAACAGTAACACTAATCCTAGCCATGGTTCTTTCCCAACTTGGGTTGGCGCACTAAACAAGAGATTTGGTTCAAGATTCAATCAATCTCACTTCAGACAGGTCCTGAAAGCAACAGAACACTATAAAGCCATGAAAATACGCAAATGCAACAACCAAGTTCCACTTCTATAAAGTAAGTTAGAATCAAACAGAAAAGCACATAGGTTTAAATTTTCTGGGGTCTCAATCATGATCCCAATCCCCTAACTAAAGAATTAACATAACAACCTAAAGTCACCCTCTGTCAAAATTTCTAACACTATCTATTGAGTTTCATCTATTTCGTGGAAAACAGGAAAGGTGTAAATTTTTTTATTAGATTTCACTTTACTGTAATCATCAAATATCCAAATTCAAAAGGAACTCCACGTATAATCTGAAAACGTATTAAAATTGAGCTGAATCTTCAACCTTTTAAGTCCTTACACTTAACAAAGAGGGCAGGGCAGGGCAGGGAAGGGAGAACAACCATCCATGCCCAAAAAGACGATCTTTAAATTAAAATTTGAAACTATTCTAAACAAAAATTCAATCAACTTTATTCAATATTTGGATGAACATCGCTCCAAAGGGCCATCAAAGAAATAAAACAAAGAGCATAATTAAAAAAAAATAAAAATCAACTCCTCCTCCATACTTATGCATAGTATCACTAGTAATAATCTTCACAGACCCAATTCTCTCAAAACTGATAAAAATCGTAACTTTGACTACAGAAAATGGATCATATTATCCTCAGATTAAGGAAACTTACACACCCAGAATGAGATAATGAAGTTTCTCCGGATTGGGACCTCAGAAGAGAGAAGGCTTTGAGGATGAAAAAGTTGAAAGATAGGGCCCCTTTTAAGATTTTTCTTTTTTCTTTAGGGGGTGAAGAAAGAGATGAGATGATGATGATAATAATAAATTGGACTTTATGAGAAGGTATGTCTCATCATCCAACTTCCCGGGACGAAGCTGATTGGGGGAATGGACAAGCAGTTTTGTATGTATTTGGACATTCTTCCTTTAGTTTTATTCGTCAATTTGCTACCCAATCACATTGAGTCCTGGGATACCATTTTTCCAAAATGAAATACACAAAAGAAATTCTTCTTTTTTTCTTTTTTAAATTCCATGCAGCATCATCAGGAACATATTGAAAAAAAAAAATAAAAGAAAAAAAGAAGTGATACCAAATACTATATTCCCCTTTTCTCCTTTCCTTTTTTTGGATTGAGAATTAAACTTTTTATAATTATTTTGCCAGCTGAGATGTTATTTTGAAATGCAATGGTAGTTGGGAATCTCCCTTATACTTAATAACAACATACTTCATCCATTCCAAAATAAGTGTCATTCTACACTTTGCACATAGTTTAATAAACTCTTAAATAGGTTAATAAAAATACTTGAATATTCTCAACTAACCCTATTAAAAAAATGTGCACATATAATATTAATTTTTTGAGGAAAATTTTGAAAATTATGGACAAAAAATGCATTGAAATGTGAGAACGACACTTATTTTTAAAATTTTCCTATTTTACTAAAACGATATTTATTTTGGAACGGAGGGACTACAAGAAAATAAAAATGAAAATCACGGGATGCAATGATCACTATATCAGTTGAAAATGTTTTTAGGTGTCACCAAATAGTGTAAAATAATCTTTACTCATTTTTTCATTAGGGATGCATGGAATTCCAAACCAAACTCCCCACGATATGTGAATGTGATTGTTTCTCGAGTTCTTATAAGAATATTTATCGTCAGACTAAAAATTTATCAAACTCTACGCAATAAATTTATTTCAAACTAAAAACAAAATTATACCCCCATCCCACACGTGACATTGATTCAGTTACATTAATAAACACGAAAAAGGGAGAATTGTATCACACGGAGAGAAATATTCTCTAAAACAAAAGGATCAATCACAGTGAAGGTTGTAAAAAAAATAGTCTTCATATTTGGATTAATACATTTAACGATCAAATAACCACGACATAGAAGTTGTGTTTATAGACCCCGAGGTTAAATTGTTGACTACGACAAGTCAATGTATCATAGCTGAAATTAACTACCAAAGATGTTGCTACATCCTGGATAATTTCTTTGTGGGATTTGATCCACCACACAACTTTAATCACATACATTCGTGGGTAAATCCGTGGTTAAAGTAACCTTAACTTTAATTAACTATTATTACAACTCAAAATCAGTGGTTAAATTACCAAAAAAAACATAGTAGTTAATCTGGGATTAAAAAATTTAATATTACTTGTCATGATTAATCCGTGGCTTTTTTTTTTCCTTTAAACATTTTTTTTTTCAAAAAAATAAATCACATAAATCATAAGCAATGAAGATGTATTAGCAAATAGAACTCTTACTATGTAACAAAATGCATTACAACAACTTTACTTCAATAAACTTACAATTCTTTTGTATCACTCGTCCTTTTCAAAATGGATTTCTTTTAGTTTTAGATTTTTTTTCAATGTTCATCTATCTTCTCAAGATGGAATTCTTTGGTCCCTCATCATCATGAGTGTCAACCAGTTTGCTCTTCTTCTTGACCATGTTTCAACCATCCCATAGGTTCTTCGATGATCTCCGTTCTTGTAGAAGCTTCAGAGCCCTGACTAATCCCTTCATAACAAGAACTTCATGAATGGTAGCGTCATGAACTGTTTCCTCTTCCTTACTTTTAAGTTTTGGTGTCTCTTATTATGTGCTTTCTTTAACCTCTGAGCAGACATCATCTTCTTGTTTAGCCTCCATCTTTGCAACTTTTGGGATAGGATCTACCTCCACAAACACGTCTTTAGCATCAGACTTTTAAGTTTCTCGAACATCACAAAGAAACCATCAGACAGCGTTCCAAGAACCATCACAATTCTTGTTATTCCCTGGGGACTTTGAGTTTGTTCTATACTTAATATTCCTTTTTATCTTTGGGTAGTGACTAATGACAAGATTAGATGGGTTACTCTAACTAATGCAGATTAAGTATAGAACAAACAAGGAACTGAACTCAAGTAAATCCAAGAAAACTGAGATTTGTCAATAATACAACAACTCAAGACAAAATTTTATGTGGCTTTTCCTGTCCACTGCTACACTCGTCATCATCTCCTTTGACATGTCGTCCTATTATATTAATAACAACAAAGGAATCAAAACAACCAATATGTGATTGCCAGAAGGGATCAATTTTTACCCAACTAAGAAAAGACAACAATCGCAATCAAAAGTTGTGCACATATACTGAGAGGTAAATAGCGTGGCTGATGATCTTGCAAAACAAGCTTCGGCTAGGGTTTCATGTCATTATAATAACTATGGTGAACTTCCGGCATCAATCTTCAATCTTCAATCTTCAATCTTATGTGGAAAAGTTCACCTTGATCAATCTTCATTCCCTTATATTAGGATTAAATAGTCTCTAAATCTTCAACATCTAGATGGAGTTGCCAGGGGATTAATGTTTCTAATCTTTGTAAGGCAAGCTCCTAGGTACTTAGATAGGACAAGTGAACTGTCAGGGGATTATAGTTCTATCTTTGTAAGACAGTTCCTAGTATAGTTGCACAAGAATCGTCAGGAGTTTTACTAGAAAACTTTGTAAGACGGTTCTTTTTTATTTTGAGTAAGTCTTAAGCACTGCCTTATGTAACTTTTATTTTTAATTAATAAAATCGGGGTCCTCCCGCCAGGTACCGCCTTGGATTTTCCTAGAAAAAAAAAAACCACCAGGCAACTGATATTACTTTCTTACTCTTCAAAAACCTTTGAAAGCTGTAGGGCTTTCTTCCTTCAGGCATTTCTCTTTTCCTCAATCTTACAGCTTCTAGTAATAAAAAAAACTTCTGAAGCACCTTCCGGCTTCTTCTTCAATCTTTCTTCTCTCATCATGTCACAAAGCAAACAAAAATACATAAAAAAGGCACGACAACCTTTGAACAGTGGTGATTAAAACAAACAAAGGTTTAACAAAATTAGTCACATGTGAAAGAATAATGTTTCGTGTCTATTATGGGTATACAACATGGTATATATATACAAGACCCCTAGCCGATACTAACGGGAAACCCTAATTAGGGTTTCTGTAATTACATAGTCTATCATTCCCCGCAATCATAGCAGGAGAAGATTTCATGCATAGATTGATTCTAAACATATAAAATTTATCCTTAGCTAATGACTTTGTAAAAACATCCATAAGTTGGGACTGTGTGGAGATATGAAGAACTTTGAGAAGACCAGCAGCAATACGTTCACGAACGAAATGAATGTCTGGACCAATATGTTTTGTTTGGGCATGATTAACGGGATTGGCGGCTAGGTATGTAGCGGATACATTATCACACAAGATAACCGGACGCTGCGGAAGCTTGATACGAAGTTTGGAGAGTAGATTTTCCTACCAAACTGTTTCAACCAAAGGAAAAAGCAACCGCTCGATACTCAGACTCAGCAGAAGACCTAGAAACTGTAAATTGTTTCTTTGAGGACCACGAAATCAGAGAGGAACCCAAGAAGATGCAAAAACCAGTTGTAGAACGATGAGTGGTAGGACATCCCGCCCAATCAGCATCAGAATAAGTAACAAGGCGATCAAGAGGGACATCACGAAGATGAATGCCACAGTGAAGGGTGCCCTTAATGTAGTGTAGAATGCGTTTAACAGCCTGAAAATGCTGCTCACGAGGATCATGCATATGCTGACAGACAAGATTAACTGCATACTGAATGTTCGATCTAGTGAAGGTAAGATACTGTAAGACACCCACCAAACTCGGATAGAGTGTCGGATTATGAAAGGGCGGAGACTCATCGACAGAAAATTGGAATGCTGGAGCAAGAGGAGTAGCAACTGGATTAGCATTGGTGAGATGACTGCGAGACAACAATTCCTCAGCATACTTGCGTTGGTGTAAAAATCAACCATCAGAGTGAGAAGTGTCAGAAACACCAAGAAAATAGCTGATAGGAC